CTACCTGTACAGCTGTGCAGAGACAGAGAAGCTGTACCAGCTGCTGGTGCAGTACAAGGACAGGTAAGGACAGAGTTGAGTTACACACCGGCTGTAGCCAGCTCTTCTCTGTTCTTCTCACTTTTCATATTTTCCATGTTCTGCTTAGAAGTTATTGAGATGTACCCTGTTTTGTTGCGTTGTATTATTTATTTGTTATTTTCATCCTTGCTGTTGTTTGTTTTTTTATTATTCAGAGTTGAATCCATTGGTCAGTGCCACATTGTCTTTTTGTAATACTACCACCAGAAAGCACCAGTTTCACATTTTTTATGTACTAGTATGAGTTTAAGTTGTGATTTTGTTTCCATCCATCCAGCGATGATGCAGAGTTCCTGTGGAGGCTGGCCCGGGCGTCTCGTGACATGTCTCTCCTGCCCAACATGGAGGCAGAACGGAAGAAGCAGCTGATGTATGAGGGCTTCGAATATGCAAAGAAGGCACTGGAGAAGGATGATAAGTGTTTTGCTGCACACAAAGTAAGACATTGGTTTCACTGAGAAGACACTACTAATTCACCTCCATCAGGTTTATCAGAGAAAAAACAACCAAAACCAAAAAAGCCCATATTAGGAGATATGACCAAACTCTCTCCTGACACAGTGGTATGCAGTCTGTCTCAGTGATACTGGAGACTACGAGGGAGTCAAGGTGAAAATTGGAAATTCATACATCATCAGGGAACATCTAGAGGTGAGAGGATATTCAGGTCAGCGTCATATTATCAGTGTGTCACAGTGAACTCTATTCTGAAGTGAAACATGTTGCTTTGTCCTAGAGAGCCATTGAGCTCAATCCCAAAGATGCCACTTCCTTACATATTCTAGGGTTCTGGTGAGTCTTCTTTTTTTTACTGTAACAAATAATGCATTTCATTTTTTAATACAGCTGCCTCAAGAGCATCTGAAAGTTCAGTCAACATCAAGACTGTAGAGGCTAAAGGAAGGGAAGTCAGCAGTGGAGTTGTCGTTGTTGTTGGACTTGTGAGGCCCAAAGATTGCAAACAGAATAGGATGTCAACCAGATGGATAGAAACTGCGTGCGTTAGACTTAGACCCTGTCGATACATATGCAGATATTTTTAAAAACAGATATTTTCCCTCCCCATTCAAAAGAAAAAAAAGTCCACTTCACCTTCATTTTACAAAACATCTCCGCCCACACAAGAACGCACTAGAAGGCAAAGCTTTCAATTTACTGGTCCATGTGTGTCCCAAACCCTCACCTTTGGTCATGAGCTCTGGGTAGTGACCGAAAGATTGAGATTGTGGGTACGAATGACTGAAATGAGTTTCTTCAGAAGGGTGGCTGGGCTCAGCCTTAGAGATAGGGTGAGGAGCTCAGACATTCGGAGGGAGCTCGGAGTAGAGCCGCTGCTCCCTTGCAGGGAAAGGGGTCAGTTGAGGTGGTTGGGGCATCTGAGCAGTCTCCTGTGCGCCTCGTGTTTGAGGTGTTCTGGTCACGTCCCACTGGTAGGAGGCCCCGGGGCAGACCCAGAACACGCTGGAGGGGTTGCATATCTCATCTGGCCTGGGAACACCTTGGGGTCCCCCAGGAGGAGCTGGAAAGTATTGCCGGGGAGAGGGACGTCTAGAATACTGCTGCCCCTGCAACCGGGCTTTGGATAAGCAGTTGAAAATGGACGGATGGAAAATTGCTCCATTGTGTCCTTGTTCAGCTGGACTTGATCCAAAACTGTCATTTCTGGTAGAGTTTAATCGCAGCCGCTGAGGTGAAGCAAATAATACTGGGCTTAACAGACGGCTCCATTAGTCCATGACGTGGTGCAACTGTGTTAAATAAAAATGTAAATTTATTAGACCAAGCAGTGCTGACAAAATGTGCATGTGCGAATTGAAGAGATGATCGACATAATGTTATTGTTTCCCAATGGTGAATGGGCTGCACTTGTATAGCCTTCCTCTTGTGAGTGTTCTTGCGTCTCCCATTGTTCGCCACTAAAGGTTAACAGGGTAAACAGTGCGACTGACTGCAGTTATGATCGCAGACCTTTCATCAAAATTGTCAATTTCTGCTATTTCTATTACACATTATCAGAGTTTAAGCCGATCAGATGTTATTATTCAAGGTATTCTTTATGCCCTCTCTTTTTCAGGTGCTTTGCTTTTGCAGAGCTGCCTTGGTATCAGCGTAAGGTGGCGGCTTTAATTTTTTCATCGCCGCCTAACTCCACATATGAAGAGGTGAGGACGTCTCCGTTTGTACCACTCTTCCTTTGTCTTGTTACTAACCGCACAATGGCTGACTGTTAAAACAGCTTCAGGCTGAAAGTTCTTTGATGTTTTTTTTTCTGCTCCTTTCAGGCTTTGGAATTTTTCCTGAAAGCTGAAGAAGGTAAAACGCAGCATACTAATAAAGTCACTGAGGCATTAACTGAGAAACTGCTGATCTCCTGCTGGCTGCGGCTCAGATTCTTAGATCAGAGCAGTGCTGTGCTTGTAAAGGATTATCTAAAGGTTTAAAATGTATTTAACTATTGTTGCATTTCTGTGTTTTGTTTTTCTCAGTTGATCCAAACTTCTACAGTAAGAACCTGCTGATGCTCGGGAAAACCTACTTGGGCATGAAAGACAAAGAGAAAGCACGGTTCTATTTAACCAAAGCAAAGGACTACCCTGCTCACACACTGGAAGACAAAGAGGTACGTGCACTAAAGCACTCCACTTAAATGATCTCATGACCTCCGTGTTTGGCGAAATGGCAGGTAATTTGTGGTTGAATTTATACTTGACTAATTACAGACAAGGCAGATTGAACCCCTACAACTATTACAAATCATCAGAGGTCCCCAGGTAACACTAGCCCAAGCTTTTGATTGACTGTTTTCATAACTACTTGACCCAGATGTAAAATAACTCTGAGGAAGATGTTGCAATACCTTCAGGTATCCTGATGCATGAATCGCACAAGCTGATGTGAACGTACTCAGTTGGTTTACAGTGTGTTTGTTTCTTTGCAGGTCCATAAAAATGCTGTCGACCTGTTGAAGAAACTAGGATGAAGCTGTTATGACCACTAGGGCTGGACTATGGGGAGGAAATAAAATACCATGACATTTATGACCAAATAATGTCGATATTGAGTCAATATCGTAGAGCTGACTGAGTTGATCGAGGCAAATAATAGAACATCACTTAACTGTAAGACAGCCTTTAAAACCATGAAAAGACAACACAACTTACTATCTAAGATGATATTTAGTCCCATGTCACGATATCAACATAATATCGATATGTTGCCCAGCCTTAATTACAGTGGAACATGGTGCATTTGGGGACTTTTGGACTGTTAATTACTGCGAGTAAATCTGATTCTGTAGTCGTTAACACAGCAGAACTGTCTGGTCATTAAATGTCTAGTTAAATTAAAACTATAACATGCAACTTTTGAGATTAAGTTAGTGAACATGATCTAATGGTCTCCGCTTATCTAATCGTGCCTGAATTTCTCTGACATCTAGGTTAGCGGTGATCACGTGCTGTTTGCTGGGCTGAATGTTTACAACACTGCCACTTTTTAAAATTCAGATTTATGATCTGAAAATGGAGGAATCAAGAAAAATGTGGGACAGTGAAGAACACAGCAGATATTGTGCTTTTGCATATTGTAAATAATATTTTTAGAGAGAAAAATGTACAAATATAATTCCCATCTGTATCTGTCTACCAACAACTCAAGCAATAGTTAATGGTTTCTCTAGTCACAATTTTTTTTTCTTTCTTTTTTTTTTGTACATGCATTTACTGTGTTTTAACTGAAGGGCATTTTTTTCCTGATCAAAATAATAAATAAATCAAAGCCACAAATGCATCTTTAGCTTAATAATGCCTGTGTTTTTTTCACCAGCATAGAGTCGACTGAGCGGGTTTAGCCCATTGAAACCTGACATCACATTACTTTTCATGTGCTGCTTTCAGATGCCTTTCACAAATATATAAACCTTTGAACTCCGATCCCAGCAAATTGATGAGTTTTCTGTCAAAAGCATGGGGGAAAAAGGCAATGAGCAACTTAGCGAGAAATGTCCCATAAATTATAAATTAATTGATTTAGAAAATTATTTAAAAAAAAATAGGGAAAACTATATTTATAATCATTATTATTACATATTTAAAATTATGGTAAAGATAAAAATAATAAGTAAAAAATATATAAAATAAATAATAATTTAAAAAAAATATTACAGTAAAGAATTGTTATAATTTTTAAGCACTTTTTTCTCCCCAAGTTATTTCCTTGTTTCTTTTTTTATAATAAATTACTTTTTATTTTATTTTATTTTTTACTAATTTCTTGTAATATGTTGGGTCACTTCTTCTTTCGTTGCCTTCTTCCTTTGTTTTTGAAAGAAATAAAGCCAACTTGCTCAGGTTTCAAAGGGTTATTAAGACAAAAGTAAGTCTTCAACAGTCACCATGACATGAGTCCTTTGTAGCAAGGAGGTGATGTCATGCCTCCAATAAAAATTACATAACTAATATATTAGGGTTGGGAAAATCGTTTCAGCATAGTATTGCGATATTTTTGTGTAGCAATATAATATCGTCACACAGTGCTAAGTATCGATTTTTTTATTATATAAAATATTAATATTACAAATATAAATTAAACTTTAAGTAGCCTACTAGAATAATATAATTAAATGCTTCTTCACTCCATTAGACACATTTTGTTGCTGCAAAAAAAAATGGCTGAAGTGGGATAAACAGACTGAAAACTTTATCTTATTACATAAAACATTGATAAAGTTTTCGTTTGGGGCATTATTTATAGTTGGAAAAAAAAGGTAATATGTCGCAACATATTTAAAGATCGCATTAATATTGTATTGTGACTTAAGTTTCGTGATGTCGTATCTTGAATCCCACCCCGATAATATATTAGCTAAAGCTTTCAGATGAAGTATCAAACTGAACTAAAAAATAAATTCAAACCAGCTCTAAAGATGGTCAGATACATTTATTAAATATGGTTCTTTCCACAGGCAAGATCAATTCAAAACAGAGGATGAACCAAGAGCACATTGTGTTATTTTCTCTGAGAACAGAATAAAAGTTGCCAACAGTTTTGTTGTGAATCCTGAGCAGAAGGCCTCTCGTCCCCCGATAATCACACAACAAAAACAAGAAAGAAAGCGTGGTCATGAAGGGGGTTTATTCACTTATTTATTTGTATCTCATAAATCCATCTCTCTTCATTAAAATGGGTGAAAGCAGATTAAAAATGAATCTTCTATACACATCGTCTCCAGTAAAGGGGCATTCTGTACAGTGTAGGTGGTGTTTACAGTGTGTATCTACACGCGATATGTTACAGTTTGGATGCGTTTCAGACGGCCTCGACCGCAGTCAGCACACAAACAAGCTTCCTGCTGCATTATCATGTACTGAAATGATGCACAGTATCACGAGTCAGCTTTGAGAGGACACACCTGTCCAGGTGATGCTTCAGTTACTGGCGACAGTGAAGGCAACCTGAAACGTCCCATCCATGTCTGATAAGAACAAAGGCATCACAGATTTCCATCAATGGAGCGGCGGCTCTGTGTAATTAATTATAATATTTAAGTACTTTATTTACTTTCGTTATCTTTATACAATGAATATTCACATACACAGTTGATTTTCCTTGATTACAGGTTTCTGTTCAAAAGGAAGCACAAAGTTATTTTGACTTCTCTTAAGTCGGCTCCTTTTGCTACAGTAAATGATTTCTTCATACTGTCGTCCCTCCCTCAAACTCCTCCACAGGGACAGCTGAGTACATGTTATATACGTGACTGATAATTTGAATAATCACAAGCTCCTCCCAGTAAAAGTCTAAAGCAGCTTGCTGCTGTTTGCAGTGGTCTGGGAAAAAAAAAAAAAAACACAATGCTAGAGAAAACGAGAATGGCCTGCCACTGCTGCGTTAAGACCACTGACTCAAAGAATAAGCACCAGAGTTTAGAAACAACGGAGTTAGATGTGACGTTCTGAAAAACAAAGGACATGTCCCCTGAAGCACTGAAGGAAAGAAAGGACAAGTGAGGGTGCAAAAACAAAAACACACATGTAGCACTGCAATGCTGCGTCGGTCTCCAGACAGGCCTTCCGCTGCTGAGCAGCTGCACTGGGGAAGCTTTCCACACGTTATTTGGTCTGTGGCACTTTAGTGTCTCATTAACTTATAAAATAATTAAGTTTTATAATCATGATTTGTTTGTAAAAAAAAGGCTAGGTTTTATTTACTGACACACACTCACACAGATCTCTTAACCTAAGGCTGTCTCATCTCAGCACAAAAACTAATAATGAGATTGAACACGGGCTGAATAAATTAAACTGTATGATCTCAGGAGGGCTCTGCACTGCGGCTGGAAACTCAACTGCAGTCATACTGTTGACCGCACAGCCGAGGAGCAGATACACACTGTATGTGACCGATAATGCCATACAGGCTCATGACACAGGTAGCACTTTCAGAAGCCCACAATTTCTAGTAGACCTATCAACCCCTCAAAAATGTATTTATGCTTATTTTATTTTAATTGGCCAGTTTCCACTCTGTGCTGCCTGCATGCAGTATTTGTATATGGTGCTTTCATGTCAATCAAGACATGAAATTTGATATTTTTCAGTCTCTATTCACTTTATGAACACTGACAAAAATTTAAAAACCTCATTACCTATGGCACACTGAACGACACTTACTGCCTTGATAATGACATTTCTGTAATGATGCAATCATTTTTATGCCACATTGGCTTCAGTTGCTTTTAGTTATTGGTGGGTAAGAAATGAGGATGTACAAATGTACATTCATAAGAATGAGATGTCCTGTGGACCTTACTACAATACAAGATGTAACAAGCTGTCAGTACTCATTAGGGCTGGACGACATAGACAACAATTCATGTTTCGGTATTTTCAGGCTGAATGGCGATACATGACTTTTTTTTTTTTTTTTTACAAAATAGGCTGCATGTTCAAATGAACCAAAGTATGACAAGCTATAGAATAAATAGCAGGGCTGTACGTGAACTTTTTGCACACAACACTGGAGCTACAAAGGTTTAAAGGTTTGAAGCAAAGGACGCAAAATTATAACATGAGTATAAAAGTATCAAGTAGAGCCCTAAATCCATTTTATTGTTTGGAGAAATGAAAAATTTTGTGTGGGGAATTAAAAAGTCGTTTTCCATCTGTTGGCCTTTCAAATGAATCAGGAGCTGGAAAATGATTTAAATATTTTTCATTTATTTCGGCTATCAATCTTATTTATGCACAGAGCATCAACAGAGAGGCCAAGGAAGGAAAGGAGACAGAGACACTCTGTCCTCGTTATATACGTCTTGTATATGAGACATCTGTGTTGTCGCTGTGTTTCTGAAAACACATCTGTCGTCTGCATCCAGGCGCTGTCTGAGTGTCACACAGTAGACTACAACTACCAATAAGAACAGTGATGGGCTACACCTTGGAAACAAAAGCTAACCTCACGCAATCAAGCACACATGCAGCACAGTGCTGTACTGCACGTGTGCTACTGCGGTTATTTCATTCATCTCACAGACTGATTTAGCGTAGCACGCGCAACATATAGACTCATGTCACACTGTAGACTAATGAACAGACAGATTAAACAATGGTATGCGTATTGTAATGCAACTTGACCCTATATCGATATAAAGGGTATTGTCTAACTTTATATCGTGCTTGAAAACGTATTGATATATCGTACACGGTCGTTATATCGCCCAGCCCTTGTTCTCACTCTGTGTGCATCAAGTTATAGTGATGTTTCATGACAAGATCCACTGTCAGGGTGTTTGTCTATTGTGAAACCTATAATTGAGGGGTCATGTGCTCTTCATGTTATCAAATAAGCAGAATGATGTATGTTGCTCTGTAAACCACAGTGGCTTCACAGGACTGGGGACGCTTCATAGTCCGAGATCAAAGTTCAAAGAGGCAAAAGAGAATCAGCAAGCACACACACGACCTGTTGAGCCAGAGTCCGTCTATCTCTTTTGCTGCGACAACTTTCCCAAACAACTCCATCGCCGTCCTGGTGTGTATCTTACTTGCCAACTAGAGCAGAGGGCTGCTGTCTAGCTGGTGTGGGACATGTCCAGTGTCCATGGCTTAAACATCAGAGCTGTGAACCACAGCCTTCACTGCCACCACACTCACAATTCGCTCTTTTACTTTGATTCAGGATATTTTCCTTGAGTCCCCATATTTCTTTTCATATCGTAGCCTTTCTCCGTGACGGCCTTTTTTCCTGACTCGTGTCTTAATCCAATGATCCGATGATGCTTCTTACTCCGGGCATGAGTCCAGAATCTCTTTAAGGTAAAAACTGTATGACAGCGTATCCTCTGCTTCACCTGCTTCAGACTGAACTCCTTTTTGATGATAATGGTAAAAAAGCTCATTGAGAGACGGAGCGTCCATGCTTAAATGTCTTTGCGTGTGTATAGGTGGTGGTAGAGGGTGGTCACAGCAGTCTTCTCATCCTCAGAGGCAGCCATGCAAGCACGCAAAAATTGCAACAATTACTATGAGTCCAATGGGGGAAATAAAATTCAGGCACCAGACCCCAATACTATTCTTGCCATTTAGAAGCTCTATAGAACTAGAGCTTTAAAAGAAGATTGCGCTTCAACTATAAAATCCTCTCAAAAACACTTTCAGTCTCTTTTAAAAAGCCAGTCAGCAGTGGGGAGGAAATTAAAAAAATATCCATGATTTCTGTTTTTAAACAGAGGAGCAAAAATGCTGAAATGCTTGCATATTTCATGATGGGGTATCATATCATATTTAAGGGCTGGGGAACGGGATTGCTGCAAAAATGATGCTGCAAATTAAGATTTGGTTTAAAATGACAAAATAGCTTATATACATTGGTGGTTATCTTGTGCAATTCCTTTTTGTCTTTTTTTAGTTTGTTTTACTTGGCTGAATAAACAGCGATGGGGAGGGAGAGAGATACAAGCGGACTCCTCCCTCTATTCTTGGCCAAATCCTTCCGTTTCCTCGATGGCAAAGAGCAGCTTCTCTTTCAGCTGTTCAAAGCTCTTGTAGGGAGGCAAGTCCAGACGGTTGAAACTGGAGAGACAACGGTAAGATGAAACATCAGTATAAAAGGTCGGATCCTTATTGATTGTAAACAGTTCCCATATAATGATTATGTACAATCCCAGGAATATTCACAGCTTTCTAAGCAAACTGCAGCTGCTGTGAATCACTTTTTCTGGCAAACTCATTAAACCAGTGGCTGGAATACGACGGCAAACTGAATCCAGCCACAGAAGATACAGTTTATCACAGTAAATCACTGTTAATAGCGATATACTGCAATAACATCTGGGAAAAACTCTATGCAAGGGAGGAATGAGTCTCATGAATCAGAGGTAGAGCACACCACTCACCATGTGTGGCTCCGAGGAAGCCACGTGTCCTTCCCCACCTTCTCAATGCAGAACTTCTGGGGCCCGTTACTTCCTGAAATGCAAAGGATAATGACGGGTGAGACGAACACTGTAAAACTAAAATTACAGCCTCTTGTACAACTCCTCTGACCACTCAAGCTGCAGTTTATGTCCATGTCTGCCCTCATATAATAAATGTAGTGAAGACTTTGAAGGAATTTAACAAACGGTATAAACATTTTATGATATCACAGCAACTCTGACCTTTAACCACCAGAATCTAATCAGTTCCTCAATCACATTTGAGGAATATTCCCTGACAGTGTTCCTGAGATACTGCATTAATGAGAACAGGACGGACAGCCTGAAAACATAATGTCTCCAGTAAAATGTGCAGAGTATGTATCAGTAGCTCTTGGTGTCTGACTGATGATGTAGTAAATATGTTACTCTGTGTGTGTCCGTCTGTCACTGACCCATGAGTTCAGCGAAGCCGCCCAGAGGAAGCCTGCACGTCCCTGTGACAAACTGCATGAGCCGCAGCCGCACTTCATTGTCCACTTCTTTCACCAACTGCAGGGGAGGAAGTGACAGCACACAATCATCAATAACCTAACACAGCTGATTAGTCAGGCTTTAATCATTAAATCATATAACACATTTCATATTAACACTGAAAAGGAGCAACACAGGGTTTTTCCTGGCTCAACATGAGGTGGAGGGAGTACCATCGTGATCATGTGCACACGTGTGTATGTCGTGCCTCAAACAAACACTTTTTACAAGCAACATATTCTAGGAGTTCTGATTGGAAAAAAAACAAAAAACAAAAATCACAGTTATTAATAAATTGCGGCCAAATTGTGACAGGGATATACTGAATATTTTTGTAAAACAATTTGATCTGCTGGCAAAATACTTTTTAGACAAAAGCACATCACTTGTTTTTTAAGCATTTGAAAAAATGATCTTAATAATAATTGTAAGTAATCCCCTCTTGCAAACTTTAATATGACACTTTAATACGACAGTCTGTCCTTTTCTATATTATTCATTTTGATTATTTTACTTCAGATTTTAAATGACCTGCTTTTATCAGTACATGTAGCTGTCATGTTCTCATGTATTGTAATGAACTAATGTGTTTTACAGATGCCTGTTTGAAATTTTGTATTTAATAAAATAAAAAAAACCTAATTCATTTCTGTACAATGCACCAGTGTAAACATAGTAGTCTCAGTATGAGACAGTGTTCAGTCACATATGTAGAGGCCCACAGAGTGGCATTCACAAACGCAGAATACAACCGTATGCAACGGCACTTATAGACTCCAGTTGTGGTTTAAAACATTGAACAGCAGGCGAAGGTAGTTTTATTTTCTCCAGTGATCTTTTTTTTCTGTGAATGCAGGTCAACACTCAAGCAGTGAATGACTTTTGCATCACTGCAGTCCAGCCAAAAACAGACTGCTCTCTTCTTTCTCTTTGGCACTTTTGGCCTTTCCTGGTGCACTGTGCCATCACATCTGAACTTGTGCTGGCACAATATTCAGATCCTTTCCATTATAAGCAGCAGAGGGTGAAGAACATGTGACATGATGTCTGGTTGTGTGACTGTACCTGCCAGAACCAGATGATCTGTTTGCTGTTCCTTGTGTAGTGACGGTACACCGTGTTCCTCTGCCAGTCCTGAAGGTCTACCTCCTGCATGCCACACAGCATCACCTGGGTCAAACAAACACATACAAGTACATCAGTGATGTGTAGAACACAAAGCAAATACACAGAAGTAAGGAGAGAGAATTCTCACACAAAAAGATTATAGAGGAAATAGTGGTTTTCCACACACAACCATATTATCTAATGTTTTTAAGTAATGTGTTCAAAGCTCTGTGGAGTGGGGTAGGCTACTGAGATTTAAATAAACGCTCACTGGAGACATAACAGCACCCAGGGTTACCACACATTTTCATGGACAGAATTTCAAAATCTTTCCATAACTTTCCATAACATAAAAGAAAATAGGTTTTCCATGACCGTGGAAACACCTGCTGCTATGCTGCTCACCTCAAGCTCCTTTTCATCAAAGTACTGCAGCCACTGAAGAGGAACGACCTCGTTGAAGCCGTCCAAGAAAGCTTTGGTCTGACCTTCTACCCCGCGGGAGAACCTCCACTCTGCCATTAGACTGTAAGACAGCAAAAACGTACTTTGTAAGTCACTCACAATGATATTCAGAGGTCAGATACAGTTGTTAATATGATAAAACAGTAGCTACACTGAACCTGATATACTCCTCCTTGTTCTCCTCGGTGACTAGAACATTGGCGCCATCGGCTTTGAGGTCATGAGAAGTAATCTTCCCCAGGATCTCCATGTCCACTGAGAAGTACATCTCCAGACCACACTCTTCAATGTTGTTGTCCCTGAGGAGAGATGATATTGTGTTGCTGTCAAAGCATAATTGAGGATGAACAGTTCATTTGTTGCAAAAACAAATTAATAATTCTGAGATATTCAAGTTTCCATCCAAAAGCATAAAATCTGACTGCCTTGTAAAGGTAAGCAAACGCTGGCAAACGAGTCTCCGGTATTGGCGCCATCTTTGTTAATAACTATTCTTACATCTTGTGATGTCTGCAATTAACTGATCATCCCCTATTAGCACCCTGTATCCTCTCTGTCTGTGTCAATAAATAAATTGCCTCTTGTATGTGTGTGTGATCTGTCCTTTTTCCATATCTCTGTGGTACGCATGTTTTTACAGTTGACTTCCCACGTTTTCTTGATCCACAGCCACCAAGATTTCATTCAGACAAATCAAAACCTATATGACTGGACCATGTGGGGATTTAATTTGAAAGGACAGACACAGGAAGTGTCCACACTCAGCAGTCAGACAAGAGTCAGGTTAATTTCCAGGGCTGGTACCTGCGGTTATTCCACAGGCTAGTTAATAACATGTCAGGCAGGAAATCCAAAGTGTGGGATCATTTTGAGAAGGTGAAGGACGAACCCAAGGTGATATGTTTAGTTTTAGTTTAGTTTAGTTTAGTTTATTTGAAAGGGACAATGCACATTAATAAACATTATGTAAACTCATCTTCATTGGTCGATTACAAACATGACGTATCATCTGAAACATGGAAGTAGCTACATGCCCATTAGCCCACAGCGTCATTAACAGGCGGCTCGCTCAGTGTGTGACGTGCACTTGTAGATAAAATATAGGCCTATATTAATGAAGGTTCATTAGTACGGTTTTGTATTTCTCTGTAATGTAGCACAGTGTTAACAATGTTACTGATACTATTCTTTCTCACACCTCTCCGCCAAAAATATATCATTTATTAATTACATTAATATCGTAAACATGAGGGCGACTAGTCGACTAATGGCCCTAAATGATGACTATTGGTCGACTAGGAAAATTCTTAGTCGGGGGCAGCCCTAAATCCATTACACTTTTTTTTGGCAAATTCAGCAAATACCTCCTCATGGTCCACTAATACAAAGGCTGCAAAGGCTGAAAACATTCATTTGGAATAACAGATGTCTGTGAGACCGTTACTGTGCATCACCTGCGCTGCACAGACCCACAAGACAGATGTCAAAAACTTTTTCCACTACTTTGGCTCCCTCCAGAGTTAAAAAACACTTACAGTATATCTATCTAAATACACTGAACCAATAGTGTGCACACACAAGTGTGGGGTCAAGGGGCCTTGGGAGACTTTCCTTTAAATCACGGGGTAATTTATGTAAGAATGTACAAAGTGACTCTTTAATCAAAAGGTCCACTTTGTGTAAACTGCTGTGATATTAAGAGCTGTCAAATAGACAATAAAAAAACTGGCTTTAGCTCTCAGATGCTTGACAGTAAAGTGATCATTAAAATTAGAATATGCATGTCAAGTGCAACACACACTGCCACCAGCGCGGCGCTGTGGCCGTCAAGTGCCACCCCCCAACACACATTGGCAGCAGCGCGCAGCGGCACCGTCGACACTAAAGTGTATTTCCCACCCCAGCCCGCTAGGTGGCTGTGCCTACACTAGTTGCCAACGGTTGCCAACTGCTAGTAATGGAAGAAGAAGAGGAAAAACTTTGAGGCAACAACAACTTGGATTTCACGGTTGAGTTTCTTATCAAAACTGTCTTATTAAAAATTTGAAAAACTTAAGTATCCAGATACCCCTTTGAAAGCTGCAAATGAAACTATGGCGGCCGAGACGTACATAAAAGACTTTTCTCGCAGTGCCTCCCACGCTGGAAATAGAGCAGTGGGCTGAAGCAGAGCGCGTCGCATCGGCCAGCGAGGGTTTGTTCATTGAATATAATGGAGGTGGGCGTTTTAACGCACAGTGTATGGCAGTGGTGTGTGTTGCACTTTAATCTTCCTGCCTGAATACTCACATACATTCCAAAGGTCATGCAGCCCTGAGACACAACTTACCTGATCCATATGAGTGAGTTGTAGAACTCTGGGTCAATGGACTCCAGGTCTTTGAGTATTAGCTTCTTGTTCAGCATGCGTTTGTAGAAGGGCAGAGAGAAGCCTGTGTCGATGAACTTGCCGTGGAAAAGTGCCTGCAGCAAGAGGCAAATAAAAAGAGATTCTTTTTACTGTGCTGGTCATTTTGAAAAATATGGTACGTCTGAACATATGGCAATCACATGACAGATCTATGTATTAAATATAAGGAAACCATGACGTGTTTTAACTCTGGCAATCTGAAAATAACTACAATTACTGCCTCGCAGTTGTATGTCTCCATGAACCAGTCAAGTTGCAGTTACAGTTTAAATCCATGTCCGTACAAACAGATATGAAGCCATGACAATTGACAACATTTCAAATATGGATGTTGCTGTAAAGAAGCTGCAAATTCTTAAACATGGATGCTTCACATATCTTTAAACAGTATAGGAGATCTATACAATCAGCATAGTTTCAAGGTGGACACTCAAGATTAGTGTCAGCAACTTAGTATCTGACCAAATGCCTCCACTTCTGCTCCTGAGTTTTGGTGTTAAATAATGGCCAGAAAAATGTTGGTTTTTTTTGCAGAACGTTACGATGTCACAGTGAAACTGACCTTTGATGTCTTATATAAGAAATATCATCACTTAATCATTTTACCCTGTTAGACGTGTGTGAAATTGTGTCATAAAAGCGAATCAATTCTTGAGTTATGGCGGAAAAACATGTTTTGTGAGGCAACACCGACTGAGACTTTTGATCACCAAAATCTAATCAGTTCGTTGTTGAGTCCCAGTGGACGTTTATGCCAAATTTGAGGAAACTACCTCAAGGGTTTCTTTAATATCACGTTCACGAGAATGGGACGGACAAAGGGATGGACATATAGATGGACAACCCATAAAGATGATGCCTCCTGCCACAGCTATAGGCAGCACAGAGGCATAGAAACACATACAGAATGTGTGCAGTCTCAAAGTGCACTTGTTTTTGTAACAAAGTGAACCTCAAAGGGGACCTATTCAGCTTTCCCTTATTTTCTGTCAGATATATAATGTTACAATGTTGGATGTTCATATGAAAGGTGGCCAAAGTTTTAAATAATGAAGTAAACATGCAAACTTAGTTGAGCAACTCAGACAGAGGCTGAATCCAGGTGATTCAACACAGACAGACCATTAAAGCATGTAAACATGTTCTAGTAGAAACAGAATAGTAGAACAATCCTTTACTTTAAGAACCTACAATTGAGCATAATAGCTCCTCTTTAACTCTTTTGTTTCAACATGTTTTATTAATTAATGTTTGGTTATTTTAGTCAACATATTTGATTGGAAAATTGTCAGCCTGTTTTACCTCCTAAATTTGCGTAGGTGTTAGTGTTATAAGGATTGTATCCTTGTGTGTGGGCAGCATGTGAACTTGCCATTGCGATGAATCGGCCTATGAAGCAGAAGTAGGAGAGGTGGTCCGGGTTGATAGCAGAGGCCGGGTTGATCTGCAGACAGTAGTTGCTCTTGCCCGCATACTCAAACAGACAGTACATGGGGTTCAGCACTTCATGGGACAACAAGAAGAACCACTCTCTGCAAAGTTAGGTGTGCGAGAAACAGACAAAGGACAGACAGAGGTAAGAAGAGAGGATGAAGATAAGAGAGTGTGTGTGGAGGGATAAATTTGAATTGACATGGGGAAGAAAATGAAAGGAGGAAAAGTTAAAAAATGGAAGGAGAGAGACAAGGCGAGACAACTTCAAGACAACTGCACATTATCAATTACGGCTTACATTTCACAAAAAGCTAGTCTGCACTAAAAATCCATTGTACTGCTTATATTGTCCATACCGGGCTAAGCCACCATAGTCTAGACCCTCCTCGCCTCTGAAGATAACATAGAGTCTCCTCCTCAAGTCATAAGGCTTCAGGGCCATAATCTATCAAACAGAGAGAACACACAATATCAGCAAATGACATAGGCATGGTTGGCATGCATTTACTGAACATACAGCAAAGGAAAACTCTGAAACAAAGCATGCACTGCTCTTGAAATTCTGTATACACTATATAACATTGGCTTAAAGTGAAACCAGACAGTAGTAAAAGGACCGTCTTACTTGCGTGAAAGAGTCTTCAAACAATGTCTGCCTTGAGACAGTGATCTTCACATGGCTAGGGAGAGCATTGGACTGAGCAAAGACAGAAAAAACATTAATGCATTTGTGGGGAAAAATAATATTAAGACAAGTGACTGAGAGCAAGAAATACGAGTAATAAAGACAAAGAACACCTACCTGGCACAAGTAGCGAAAATGAGCAAGCTTCCATCGAAAGCTGCGCTCATACGCAATCTGAGGGCCTTTGGTGCTGAGAAGAACAACGTTGAAAAATGTCAAAATGTGACAAGTATAAACTGATTGATGAAATGAAATAAATTCTACAGGGGTCAACAGTTGAGTGTTCACCATATAATGAAAACCAAATGCTGCACATGTGAAATATGCTCTGATCTGGTCCCATGAAGTCAACATTTAGAAATATTTCCTGGCTTACAAAGGAAATTTATCAAATTCCTTGAATGTCACTGTGTGAAATAGAACCATTGTATGTACACTGGCTACATCACAGTAAAAAAATGACTCCATCTGGACCCAGTAAAATATCCTCTTAAATTGTGCGCAAGCTCCCATAGCTGCAGCTGTTAGCATGGCTTTCTGTAATATGTAGTGTAATGTAGAACACATGAACCAGTAAATTATCTATAATTGTGTTCTTACACAGACGACTTTCCAGTGCGGGGGTCACTGAAAGTGGTGGTTCGGGTGTTGTGATCCACAAAGTAACGAACGCCTTCCCTTGTGTACCGGATCTCCCAACCTTCAGGAAGAGGATCCTCATTCTGTAGCCTGCACGTAACACACACATTACATACATATGATTACATACATTGACTGATAGAGGCAGAAAACTGAAGGCTTTGTACAAGGACAAGAAACACATTAGTTGTTGGTGCAGCTTCCAATGTTTTTCATATTCAAACACATTTAACAACAGGTTAATGGTGCTATTATAATGGTGGCATAATGGGCTTTCTGGTAGGCAAATTAGTTACAGCTGCTTTGATAATAAAGGTTGTTATTCTCCTGTAGATCATTAACTGCTGTAGCATGTTCTGCTACGAAAATAGTACAAATGTTTGCTCCCAGAATGCACGTCATTAAGGTCTAAGGTCAGATTGATGCACAGTGAAGTTCATGGTTTAGATCCTGATATTGTTTTGGATGTGCTTCTCATTAACTTCAAACAAATCAAAAGACAAGAAGGACTGTGAAAGCACTGTGCATTGTGCAGACAGTCTGGAGGCCAACAGAGTTGTCTGCATGTCTTGTTCTTGTAAATTAAATGTAACTGTACATCATGGCCTGTCACGAGGTATTCTCAACATTCTGCTCAGATATAATGACAACATATATTCATCTTGGCTTTACTGGAACCAGATTGGAAAAGCAGATGTTGCCTCCACTCCAGCAAAAATTCAATGACCGTGTTATGCCACAGTTTACTGCCTCAGAATTTTCTTCACTGAACATTTAAGAACGTATAGGGTAACTTAGGTATTTTTAAACCTGGACCCAATTTTTCTATGTTTTTGTGTCTACAGTACGTGACTCATGGGAACAAGAGTTTTTGATATTGGTCCAGTATTGAGCAACAGGCTGCAAAGTAACCACCTGGGGCATTTGTGCACCGTCAGTTTAGGTAAAAGTGCTTCTTTTAACCACTGACAGGCTCAGACTATTATTCTAAGTGTCTGACACCATTATGAAAATGATCCCTACAGAGATAGACCTTTTTATAGATATGGACTGAAAAAAGGTTGAAAAATACCAAAGGTACCCTTTAAAAGCATAACAGATTGGTTTTAGAGTTCCTTTGACGTAACATTAATGTACAAGAGAAGTCTGTCTGATATAATGTAATTTACTCTAATTTAAGAGTTATTGGTTTCACAGTGTTGCTAGTGAGTGACATACAAGCTCTGCATGCACAGTGAACCACCAATCACAGTCATTCTTGATCAATTCATCAAAACCTAAGCAGGCCTGCTCGTTGTCCACCACCTAAAATGAGCACGAAACAGAAGGAGTGCAACATAAGGTAGCCCCCCTTATTTCATAATAAGCAACATGCACTATTAATATCATGGCATGTTAAATGATTGACTTAAGCTCAGACTGACAGAAGAATATTATAAGATTACAATGGTGTCAATATGAGTCAACCACTGTATTCAACTACCTAATTTCCCCTATGGATCACCTCAGCAGAGTGGGCACAGCATTCATCTGCGTCTGTGTTTGGTCCATTGGAACCAGGTGTAAGAAAGGATAGTAATTTAGAGTAACAAGTCCTTTTTTTGGCTTGTTTTTTTTTATATATATAATTTCTTTTTTTTAACAGTGATGCACTCTTTCCAAACAGAGCTATTCAAGTCATCTGTCGAACATTCCTCTATTGTGAAATACATATCGCAGAAAAATCTAGCAATGTCAGCTTTATCCAATATCATGCTGCCCCTAACACAGTACATACAGAATATAATACCTGAGGGAGCACGACTATTATAGTTTCAGTATGCCAATCAACACACCAGTTTGAATGACTGCAAAAAAGGCCGGTAAAATCTCTGGTAACCCTATAAGAAAACGGTGCGATATCAGTGTGGTGCAGGACAGGAAAAAAAACAATGACTTCTAGATGATGTTTCACACTAAAGTTATAATCTTTAAAAGGATCTTGAATTATAAATTGTATATTCCTGCTTTAATTTAATATTTAGCCACCTCACTGCAGTCACACAGGATTCTGCAAGCTATATTTTCTATGTGTGTATTTTCTAACCTGACCACAGTGCGGCCATGTGTGTGAAAACACAGTTTCCTTTTTTTAATGTGTTGGTTTGTTTGTGGTTTTTCTGTCACTGAGCTTACCCTTGGGTTCGGGGGTCTTCCCACTGCGTTGTCTTGGTGTTATGGTTGACAAAGTACACTCGGTCATTGGAGTCCACACGCCGCTCTAAAGTTGATATGAACACAGACAGGAATCTGTAGCTTAATAGCCAGAAAGGACACTGGGCCCCACAGTGTGGCAACACTTAACAGATTATCATCATCAGTGCTGACTAACGCTATAAACATCTGTGATCTTTGTAAACAGTGAGGCATGACAGCAGAGGGAGGGATTTAAAGGGGAGAAACAGTATCACAATTTGTTCTTTCGTAGTTACATCCATTTTGGCATGAAAATAGGTACAATGTTTTTACTTATCAGCATTAACTGCAAATCTATTTCCAATTTAAAGTTGAGTGCAAACTGACACCAAATGAAAATATGTACAGTACTTAGAAGAAAGAACATGAACTCACCCCAACCAGGAGGTAGCGGGCCAAGAGGATCATTCTCAGCAGACATCATGGATGCCTGGAAACGAGGGATGCACACATGGACATCCATTTAAAAAAAAACACGAGAAAAACTGGGGTCCAGAAATATTCCAAATATGTGTATGCATTCAAAAGCAAAAAAGGAAAATAAATAGACTCCACAACAAGGATCAGGGAAATGGGAAAAAATCCAAAACAAAATGAGAAACTGAGTTCCGCTTTGTTGCTGACAGCAAGGCCTCTGTGGCCAGTTACAGCTCAATACTTCCCAGTTGTCCTTCTTTGATTTGTGTTGTGAGCTAATCATCATCAGTGACGATAACATCACTGCTGAGATCAAAGACTTAGCAGAGGCTCACCAAAATAACCAGATTAGAGCAGAGACTGAGGCGTGCTTGTTTTTAAACTTTAGCAAGGCAAAGTTCTCACCTTAGGTTATGTGAGTTGAGCTCTGAACTGAGTGAGTGGGGTTGCAAAATAAATGCACCCAGAGAAAAAGGTGAGATTCAATAGGCGAAAGATGAAAACAACGCAAGTTATAATTTGTAACCACCATTGGAAGCTGGGCTAAGATCATCATGATGACAAAATTGACATCGACTTATTTACTCTTGCCAAATTGGACAGAAAGAAACATATGGGGGTGAGAAAATAACACTGTTTATTTCTCTTTGATTTACTCTACTGTACTTTACAATGAGGCTAATCATTTTCATTGCATACTGTAGTGTTTTAGATTTCTGACCTGTGATTTAACTACCTTTAAAACAGGCATTGCTTTCTATTCATTTGCAATGACATTATCATTATGTGGTGGGCAGTGTGGATATTGCGGCTGGCTGACACAAATAAATCAATGTACGGGAAACACTGCTACTTGTTCCTTGTTTTGATTATTGTTTGTTGGAAGATCACATTAAAGATCAGACATTTATCAACATAAAATGACTTAAACTTGTTTGATTTAGGTATAACAATAAGTGTAATTTCTGCTCTCACTGTTGTAGTTGCATTATGCACGGTGGTTTTAGGTAGGAACAGGAAAAGTCTACACTTCATAATGGACAGAAATGAACAGAGAGCCAACAGAGAGCCAAGTCTGAATGAAACATTAAAGGTTTAAAGTCCCAACATATACTTAAAAAAGCAGTCTGTTTTATATAAAATAAATGTGATTTATCATTTTCGATAATCTAATCTGGTCTTTTTAAATGGTGCCTTAAATTCTCTAAAAAGACAATGGAGCCATTTCATATCTCTTGAAAATGGTAGAAGGGTCCTGGACTGCAATATGTCTGATATCAGAGCCATTACAAACACAAGGCACCGAGAAAACCGACATCACCAGAGACTAAAATATCTTCAAAGACTTAAAAGATTTGTAGAAGTCGTTTCAGTCTGAGCAAAATAGTTTTCTCTGTTTCTGTAGTTTTGGGTAAATACTGGGAAATGGTCTGAGCTAAATGCATACTTAAGGTGATGAGCTGATACAAGCTAAAAGCTAGATAGATCCGGTGTGGTCAGGTGACTCAGTGATGCGTGAGTCTGCTGTTTTGCAGACTGGCAGCATTTATCTTTGCTCACAAAAAATTACTTAAATAATGGGAATTACAAATAAACTAATGAGTTGTATTTAGAACAACTGTTGCTGTTTACAGTGTTCCCACACCTTTTTACCAATGGATGTTCAAAACTTTTCCACAATATTTTAACCCATTCCCATGACTTAAATTAAAATGGGCAGGCATCTTGCCTGAACCTGAGCGTTCATGATACATTATTACATTAAAGTTGAACAGAAGGGAATTTGTCAGTTGATTTTTGATTGAATCATTAGTTACTGGCAGGCTAAATGTCTGTAAATAAGCAACCTATTTATAGCCAAATGTCAGATCTATTGGCTGAGATTTAGTTGGAGACGACAGTCTGCTGCTGCTGCTTTACTGTATGACTGTACTACAGCAGCCTCCCAAGCTAACATTCACTATCCATCAGTGGTTACTGTCACCAGCATCATTTAGCAATTAACACTGATGGTGAATATTCAGCATTTTATGTGCTTCAGATCTCAGTGTGAAAGTCTTGATTAACCCACTACATAACAGCCTTTCTGCATTATCCTGTTTCTCTCCTGATGTGACAGCAGGCTTTATATCCCTGCCTTGACTATGACTTGATGCTGGTCTAGTCTGTGTCTATCATGCCATACTAGTGACATTTCAAAGTCACGCAGCACAGCACTTGATTTTAAACTGGATACACAAGAATGTATTTTGCTTAACTTTAGACATGTTTTAAGATTTTTATAAACATATTTGAAACAATAGTTAATACAGTGTATATTCAAAACTTTTCCAATCCAGATTCTGTTAATTACAAACTATTTCAGGGCCTGGAAAACAGATTTTCTAATTTTGTAATTTTTCCAGGAATTTCACAACTGTGGGAACCCTGTGTTTGTACAAATCCACAGGAAGTTTGCAATGACTAAGGGAGAAAAGAGGATGTAGGAAGTGTGGGGGTGGGTATTGTCTTACAGAGTAGAGGTATCTCTGGTTAAACTGGTGCATAGCTCCCTGCAGCTGGCTGCGCTGGCTCTGCCACTGCTCAAAGTTGCGGACTGATTCCATGGTGGGACGCTGCCATGTGGTGGTGCGGGTGTTGTGGTCCACATAATAGATCCTGCCTCGGTCATCCACTCGGCGCTCCCAACTAGAGGAGTGATGGAGATATGGTACAGTAAACGGACAGGCTCACAAAGCAAGCAGTAATGAATGAGTCAGCCTGAGATGTTCAAAATGCACTTCACTGGTTTCCCAGAATTACATTTTAATAAAGGTTTGTTAATGATAGATGAAACTGACTAAGTTAATTCTAAATCTATTTATTAGAATTAGAAACAATACTACTGTTTGTTGATTCGTTACCAGACAACAGAGACAACACCATCCTGCTTCACAAGACTCTTTGCCTTCAGGAAACTGGTTATATTCATCTATTAGGACACTTTTTTATGCAGTATCAGTAGCTTAAATATGTCTTAATCTATGAGGACTAAATGCAGGGGCAAGAAATTAAACAAACCATACCACACCTCCAAACACTGTTGTGGAGACCTACATATAAAAGCCAAAAGGCCACTGTTAAAATGTACAAATGAACCCAGTAAAGTTACAGATATCATGTCTGAGAGGGGCTGAAGAGAGAGAGTGAGCAAGAAAGATACTCACCCTGGTGGTAGTGGCTGTGGTCTTTCCCAGGTCGTAGTTCTGGTGTTGTGGTCTACATAGTAAGTTCTTCCATGCGGGTCTTTCCTCTGCTCCCAACTGAAAGACACAACAATTAACAACTATTTGGAAAAACAAAGCTACATTAAGATTGTGCAAGAGGACAGATATGGATAGAAAGATATTAACAGAAAATGTACATCAGATTTAATAAAATATGAGTGTGTGGGTGTTTTAAGGGTTTGATACTCAAATAAATGAGTATCGCCATCAGGTGGCACCACCTTCCTGGGAGAGAATACTATATGTTTTTATTTGATAATAAAATATAATACTGTTTTTTAAGTTTTTAGACTATGTTTTGAAAATATAGTAAATACCTCTTCATGTTATAATGGCTTGATGTGTGTATGTGATGTTAAACGGTCAGGGAATGCAGACAAGGCAGCTATTGGTGTTTTTTACCCCGGTGGCAGAGGATCTGGGGCTCCAGCACTGGGGACCTGCTGCCTGGGCTTTGCCCCGTCTGTTGTTACAGTTGCACTGCTACTACTGCTCGCACCACCACCTCCTGAAGCATTCGCTTCTCCAATTGCTGGGGAGGAAGTGGACGATGATGAGGAGGTGGCCCCCTGTGCTGGGGAGGCGAATGTGGAGGAGGAAGCAGCAGCAGCAGCAGCAGCAGCAGCAGCAGCAGTGCCATCAATAGGCTTAGCAGCAGAAGAGGAGGAGGATGTTGGAGCCTGTGTGGAGGTTGGCAGGGTTTGAGATGTGCTATTTGGTGCTATGTCAGGGTCTGGCTGGGTAGCATCTTGATTGCAGTCCTCATGGTCATCTGCAGGGGGCAACACATCTGTTGTGGAGGATGATGGCTCGGGAGCAGCATCACAGGGCTCCCCATTGACTGCAGGCAAGTCAGAGAAAAACAATGTTGCCGTTTACATGCATGGACTAAACACTTTATTCATTTACGACTTGATTTCAGTGATATCTGAGGGAAGAACTGCATTTGTAATGTCTGACCGTACAACAAGAGCCCATTTGTCTAAAAGTCTAAGAATCTACATACATACTCAACTCATAGCAACTGGCTGATCAGCAAGTGCCTCTGTGAGGGAAAACATATCCACTGACAGAAGAAATTTAAAGTTTGAAAATGGATAATCAGTGTCTTGACATGAAACTACAGTGGATATAAAAAAATCCACACAACTATTGTGAAATTGCAGCTTTCTGAGATGTACAGACAGAAATAACAATATAAATGTCAGATTTACTCCAACTAACAAAACTGAAAACAAAAGGAAGTGGCAGTGTTTCTCATACATTGATTTATTTGTGGCAGCCAGCCACAATATCTGCACTGACCACCACATAATGATTTTATATTTTGTGTTGTTGTTTTAGCTGTTAAAATCCAATGGCAGCTAGAATAAATACACTGGAAACATGTGCTACTTTGGCTCTGATACAGCCAACTGTCTGTCTGCAGTTCCCACTCCACTGTGTAGCTTTGCTCAGTGTCCCACCCACAGCACTTTCTGCTTGGTTACACATCATGGGGAATAACCTATCAACACTGAAGGCTGCTGTGCCACTGATGGCAAAGACGAACACAGACTGGAGCTGCTCCAGTGAGAGAGCGGTGCTGTGTGTCGAAGCTAAGGCAGCAGATATTACTTAAGTTGTATTAAACATTGCAATCCTCTTTGACTGCAAAATACACAGTACACAATAGACAGTGTTTTTGATGGCAACGTTCTGCCGTTCGTGACAGTACTGGATGGATGTATATATACTGAATGTAACTTCAGTTGTACAACCCCTATTCTAAAAACATTGGGATGCTGTGTAAAACATATAGAAAAACATGATTTATAAAAGGACCTGACTAGATGAGCTTGGGAACATTTTGGAAAACCACTGTCGGTAAATGCAGTTCATTGCTGCATCTACAAGTACAAGTTAAGACTACCAGAATCTATCATGCAAAGTGAAAGCTACATATCAACAACATCTGGAAATGCTGCGGACTTCTCTGAGCCCGAGCTCATCTGAGATGGGCTGATACAAAGTGGAAAAGTGCGCTGTGGTCTGTCAAGGCCACATTTCAAATTGTTTGAGGAAATCATGGACATTATGTCCTTTGGGCTAAAGAGGAAAAGGATCATCAGCATATAGTTCAAAAGCCATCATCTGTGATAATATGGGGGGTGTTGCTGTCAATAGCATTGTGGGTAACTTGCACATCTGTGTAGGCACATACAGGTTTTGCTGCCATCCAGACGACGTCTTCTTTAGGGACATCCCTGCTTATTCCAGCAAGACAACACTAAGCCACATTCTGCACATGCTGGGGTTGCATGACAACTGCAACTACACAGAGCAGTAGGATCTTATCAACATTAAAAAAAAAAAGAAAAAAGTTGTAACGCTGTGCAAAATGTAAATAAATGCAAAACCTGCACTCTTTTACTGCGAAGCCACGCTGTTGTAACTAGTGCAGAATGTGTCTTGGCAACACACCCCCGTATTAACACAGATGCTGGCTTTGAACTTTAAGCTGGTAACAATGTGGATGGTCCTTTTCCTCTTTAGCACTGACACAACGTCCAAAAATAATTTAAAATGTGGACTTGTCATACCACAGCACACTTTTCCACTTTGTGTCAGTCCATCTTAGATGAGCTGGAGCTCAGAGAAGTCAGCATCATCTCTGGATGTTGCTGATATATGGCTTTCGCTTGGCATGGTAGAGTCTTAACATGCATTTGTAGTTGCAGCAATTAACTGTGTTCACAAGCCCTTGTAGTAATATACTTTAAACAATCATGTCGATTTTTAATCCAGTGCTGCCTGGGGAATCAAAGGTCATGGGCATTCAAGCCTTTTCAAGCCATTTCAGCCTTGCTCCTTACATGATTTCTCCAGATTCTCTGAATCTTTTGATGAGGATTGTAGATGGTGAAACTCCTACATTCATTGCAACTGTGCGTTGAGAAATATTTTTTTAACAGCTGGACTGTTTGCCCTTGCATGTTTTCACTAAGTGACCATCCTTGTTTGTAAATTGCTGAGCCTTTTGAGGATGCCCCTGTCCCAACATTTTTAGAACATGTTGCAGACATCAGATTTAGAATAAGTGTATATGAAGTTTATCAGTTTGAACATTAAATACCTTGTATTGTACTATAATCAAATCAATGCATTTTACACAGCATCCCACCTTTGTTGAAATCTGGGCTGTACCACACCCTGATTGCATTAGTCCGTATACCCTTTCATAATGGGGGTTCCAGCTGTGTTCAAGGTTTACCAACCGCTATAAAAATCATGCCTGTTGGTAAACAGCATACGCCTGCCAAGTCCAAGAACAACACTGAAGGAACTAAAGCAATTTCTGGCAAGTGCTTGTCACCCCTTGCATGTTACAGATCACATTAAGGATGGAACAAGACTGACATCTAATAGTTAATTCAGTCTCTACATTTCACAAACCTGCAATTTCACAAGGGTGTGTAAGAGGTCTTTTAAAAAGTCTGTTAGCTTCTTACCAAAGTGAGGCAGAGGAGGCACCAAGGATGAGGGAAATCTTGCTTTTTCGTTTGAATAAGGGCACATGGGGAGCATTTCAATAATTTCAAACAAATCATACTAGTTCTTATTCGTGCGACTGGATTTTGTTTATGTGGCCCTAACTTACATATACATGTGAAGAATTAATATTCTCCCATCAACCTAGGCTCAGTGTAGACAATGTGCTATCGGTTCCCCTGCCTGCCCTCCATAGTATACTACACTCTGCTTTCCTTTTCTATGCGTTTATCTTTCCTGGGAGTTTTTCGACAGAAGTGCTGACAGGCCTCACTTAATGAAAACGAATCTACTGTTATACTCTACTGTTACCAGGACCAAGTGAACCATGAAGAAGTAAAGGCCCAGCACAGGGAACATAATGAATACCTGCTGGAAATATGCACGTGCGTAACTGAGGTGGTCTGATAATGACTTCCATTATTTCATCTTTTACAAAAGCATATAATTTATCAAATTTAATCAGGAAATACTCCAAATCTCAAGTGAATTATATTTAACGACGTTACCACTCACAGGGGATTAAGGCTGTTAATGAGAAAAACACAACAATGCATTGAAGAGGCCAGAGGCACACCACACTCTTCAAGGAACCCATTTTAAACCATCACAGATACTGTAATCTGTGATTCACACAGTTGCAAACTAAAGATCAAGCTCACCAGTCCGACACTCTGTGTCACTGTCTGAGGGTTGGTGGACTGGGGTGGAGTTGGGTGTAGCATCTCCATTGACGATGTGATCAAGGGCGGGGCTGCAGGAGCTGGAAGGCACCTGACCATCCACACCATTGGAGGCCGAACAGGAACTTGACCTCGGGCCCAAGTCTGTACCATTCACTGTGCTTTAGGAGAAAACACACACAGAGTTCAAAATCATTTCATCAAATCTGAATCTGGAGACACACACACTGTTAAAAACTCAGTAGCGGTTCAGCAAGTTCATTCATTCATTCTAAAAGATGATAATTCCAAGAACAAAAAAACTCAAGCTCTGTTTTTCCTACTGGCCCAAAACAGTCTCATACTAACTCTGACTTACAGGGCTTAGTGAAGGTAAGTGTGTGCTTCCTCTGTGTGTGTGTGGGTGCCAGATAAAAGACCGACTTGTGACATTGAGACTATTGTTTTGTAGGGGCAAGGACAGGACATAATAGGATGGAGTAGTGACGTAATGGGCACAGCTGAACAGGCTCTTTTGTGAGCCAGCAGAGTTCAGACAGTGCCACAGACGAGCCAACGCTAAGACCAATACAAAATCTAATATATGACTCAAGTCCAGGCTTTGTCTTGGCAGCCAGCAATAAGAAAAAGGTCGGACCAGCAAGCTGCGACCAAGAAGAAAAAGTCAGACAGGGTCATAAACGAAGACAACAATGGATGTTGATTTTACTACTCAGCATGTCCCGAATCACAAAAGCTACAACACTATACTTAAATACACAATGTTCAGTAAGACACATTACACAGAAAATGATGCCAGTAAATTTTTTCTACCATATCTGCCCAAGTCTACATTTCAGTGTCGAGCCCAGTTCATTTGTATCTATAATAATTTATTGTTAGCATTATACTGATGTTTCAATATTTACAGATTACCTACAAATACAAAGTCAAAGGCGACTGGAATTGCTGTTTTAGTATTGGAATCTGATGCAGAGAGAGGTCCAAAGACAAAACAGACGAGCAATTACTGAAATTACCTAAGTAGGAACACACACAGTTTGAACCAAATCCAACTTTTTGCTCCTGTAGCCAGCACGGAGGCCAGTATCAAATATTTTGACAGACTGTGAGACCTGGCGCCTCTGGCTCCACAGGAAGGGTCTCCCTACTTGACTGCCTGAGGAAAAGTAGCAACACAAGCTAACTGAAATGGAGTGAAAGAAGAAGGGAAAAGCAACAAAGCAAAGTAAAAAAGGAAAACAGGAGGGAAATGAAGGCACAGGTAAGGTGAGTGAAACTCAGGAAATATAAAGATTTCTAAAATGAAATAAATAAATAAATAACGGGAGGTAGGTGGAACAGAAAAGAGAAGCGAGGTAATAATGTAAAGACTGCCAGTTAAGTATGATAGAGCTGTGAGTTCATGAAGAACAACTGGAGAGAAGTAGGGCAGAGGGGTTCCCCAAGAATCAGCTTCCAGATAAACAGTCGATTACTCACTTCTGCTTTTACAAGCTGCAAGTGAAGTCACATTTGGGAAAGAGGTGGGGAGGTTAAAACCAAGTTCAGACCAAAACTTCAATTACAATTTTAAAAAATGCAATGCAGGATAAATACACACTGTGTTGCTTTTCTTCTTCTTTTTAGTAGAAACTGTTTAAAGCTTCCCTGTTTTAAACTGGAGCTGATCTTCCCTTTTGTGCTTGAATTCATTGAAACAAAAATGTATGTGTATGTTATTATAATTGTTTAAGGTTTCATTACTTAGGTAACAATGACAAAGCAAAATTTTGTCTTGTCACCACAAATTCCCCTCAGCTGGCAACCTTTCCGATCTTGCTGTGGACTCATTACTCAACATTTTGGGAACTCCCAGGGAGGGGAAACACTACCAAGTTTTAAATATACCCCTGTTTGTGTCTTGCAGTCCTCTCAGCAACTGCAATGCAGAGAGGAGTCAGGCAGCCACAACCCACTCAACCCCCCCACCAACCTCCCGTCTGTTGCGATGAGCAGACGTGCTTCCTTTGTGGCTTTCCCATAAAAGCCCAGTAAGCCTCATTGAAGGGCACTTTTGCTGTGTGACAAATAATAAAGACTGGCACCAGTGTGGCAGCACGAGAGCTTAAAGCAGAAGGGGATAGAGCCAGGGTTTAGAAAAGTAAGACAAAGACAGAACACAGACCTCTCTGAGTTATGTATGTATGTATGTGTGTATAATATATATATACATATATATACGTGTGTGTGTGCGTGTGTGTGTATAGCCTTTTTACACATGCTAATGCAATTCAGTAGAATAAGAGTATCAGTGGTAATATGCCTGTATGTGTTTCCATAGGGCACACTGTGGCGAAACCATGCAAACACATAATTCTTTGCAGCCTGTTAGCATTCCTTAACTTGAGGATTAGCATGCTCCTGGTTCTCAAGGAGTTTCTCTAACCAGGCCAACAACCATTTTAGGAAGAGTGAAGGAGACAGAAACATTTTTTCCCATGAAATATGTTGCAACATAAAATAACCCCAAATGGCTGGGTCGTTGAGTTAGTTTACCTGTTGGCAGCCCTTGAGGAAGAAGAGGAAGAGTCTCCATTTTCATGGATGGCATCACCATTTTGTTGGACTTCTAGAGAGGATTGCAGAAAACAATGTTACCCTACAGATAATTATGCAAAGGTGTATATTTACTACAATAATTAATTTAGTTGACAAGTGCCTGATTGTACAAGGCTGAGGTGACAGAGTGCCAGCATTTCCAGCACATGTATCTGTGGCACTTTTTTCTCCCTGTTCTCCTTCCTTGATTGTCATTCACCAGTACACATGGTAATTAAAATTGCCAACCCCACTATCACCCATCCCTAACACAGAAATACTCACTGGTGCCATTTGCTGCATTGCCGTTGGTAAGCGGTGCCAGTTCCTCCTGGTCAGTGATAGTCAGGCCATCTAGGTAGACAGTCAGCTCCCCTGCGGGAACCGGAGCCCCCTTCTGCTCCACGCTCAGTTTCAGCACCTCCTTCACATTCTCCACTGTACAGCCAAAACGGGGGATGGTGTGGGAGGAGGCATTACAATAGAGGCCCATCAAAGAAAACAAAAAGCAAACCATTTAGACTGAATTTATAATATTCATATTACAGAAAAAGATGCAATGATGTGCAGCATGGATATCAGGCAACCTCAACAACAAACATGTCATCATGGTAATGTTGATTAACTTTAATAATCCCTATAAAAAATCCAAAAATGGGACAAAAAAGGTCCGGATACATAACACTGATGTCTGACTTCATGACTCTTCTGTTGTCTGGTACTGTGGCAACTGTGCCGCAGCTGTATTTGTTACATAATAAACACATCCCACCCTAGACGTTGTGTTATGGTTCTGTATTTTTGATGTAGCTTAATCATACATTTCCTGTCATGCTTCTCCAGGGCTTGAATTAGGTCCAGCGTGGCTTTGCCCAGCAGAGCATCTGCCTTCAGAGTGTGGTGACTCCATACTTTGAAATCCACCTGTGTGTGCGGTGTTACATTCCTAGAGGGTCAAAAACACACAAACAAACACACACCACATGTAATTCTTAAAACGTTTTACACAAATCTCACAATTTGACAACATCATGAGAAGGACAACAGACACAGTCAGAAATTGGCATTGCTAAAGCATAGACTCATTCATCGTGTTACAAATGGATGGATTCACTTAGCACTAAGCTCTGCTTCACACTCTCACAGGTTTTCAATATAAGTTTAATATAAGTGCACAACCCTGTGAACTTCAATCACTGTTGGAGTTCTACAGTGCTTTGGGATCAGTGAATACATCTAAGTAGGGCTGGGTACTGAGCTTCCATATTCTATGGCACCTACCAAATTGCTTCAATACTACTGAGTATCAAAAAATGCATCTTCATGCGGTAACTAATTTTGATACCTACGGAGTAAATCTCATCAGCGTCAGTGAGCCTGCTTCTACCAAGATCTAATAATGCTTATGACTAGCTGTCAAATGTTACACATCATAGACATGTTGCGCCCAGAGAAAGGATCACGTGTGTTGTTGTATTTTGAGAGGCTTGACTTTGGCGTGGGAGCCCATTTCCTCAGTTTGTGTTTATCCTTATTCTATTTGCCATTTTGTACTTTGTGAGTGGTGTGTGTTTATCAATGGCTTTGAGTCTGTGTAAATCCTGCAGGTGACAAAGTCCATAAAGGAAAGGTGCTGCGGCCTGCTGATGTAGCTGATGGAAAAGCATTTAGACTTTAGACCTTGTGCAGCTTGTATGATATGATCTTGCTCATCATTGTTATTTTATTATTATTATAATAAAATTATTATTTTGTATCTGTGTTTACCACTGTAAATCAAGTAGTTGCTAATACAATTTAGTTAGAAGCGAATGAACAAACATTTTTATTTTTGAACCGCATCTATTAATATCAGTCAGCCCAAGAGTGATTTACACAAATGGATTTCTACAAATGGATTCTGTGTGTTGCATATGTGTGAAAATGTCTAAGAAGAGATTGAAAGTGTGGCTCCATTTGATCAGGCTCGATGCCAGTGGCATGCAATGCAATATATGCAAACAGACATGGTTGCCAAGACCAGAAACTAAACAAAATTGATGAAACACTTGAACGTGCATGGCATAAATTTAAGAGTGGATGGTTGCTCTGTGATGGACTGCAAGAAAAAGACTGGACCACAGCCTTCTTCCTCTCAGCACTAAAGTCCACTTAATGTTACAGAGCCACCTTCAAATTTTTCACCAGCAGATTGCCCCTCATCTGGGATTACTGAGGACGGTGCGTGATGACTGTGGGTAATGGGTAACCTTTAGCATACAACATAAAAATTTGGCCAAGTTACACATGGTTGCTTACTACACTTAAAGCAACTGCAACAGGTGCGGTGACTTAAACTGGGACCTATGTAACGTTAGATAATAGACAACATCAAGCAGTGGTATAATGGCTTATTTTTTATGTTGTAAAACTGCTTTGAGTGCAAAAATGCAAACATAAAACTCAAGTGCTGAAACATAAAACTATGAAGAGCTGAAACATAAAACTAAAGAGCACAAACATAAAACTAAAGAGCTGAAACAGACAAATTAAATTAAACCACGCTGTGGGTTCATATTTTCAAATGCTCTGAAACTGCTCTGAAAGCATAAAAATAAAACTAAAGACTTGTACCGTAATGTGTAAATGTAATTATTTTCGTCAAAATGGATTTTAGAAAATTGGTATTGAAGTCAAGGTATTGGTACCAGTATGGAACATTTCTGAACGATTCCCAGCCCTACATTTGAGTTTGGGGAACAGACATGTGGTGACATATGTACACTGAACAAATAAAATCACTATTCAAGACCTCCTACTTTCAGCATCTGCTCCCTGTCACACAAGAAAAAAACAACAAACAAAACAACTATTATTTAGATGCTCTCTTCTGCTCCTCCTAAAACAATCTTGTCTTTGCTGCAGGCTGAGAGACTGATGTACTCAGCTCACACAGTGCTGCTTCCTTGTGTTTTCTGTGCTTAGACAAAATGAACACTACACAGCACATTCATTGTATTCACGGTTGAGCACATCAGCCTAAAGAGAAATATCTAGGATTATAGCCTTAACACTTTGTGTAGGACTCCCAATGGCTTGCAAAACATCTATGGTGCAAACCCAAGATCGCAAAGGTAGCAACAATCTATCTTGTTGGCAATAATTACCCAATCAAGGCGATTAATATTTGCCATGACGTGTCTCTGGCATTTCGCTGGACTACTCAGAAGCCAGAGAGCTGCAAAAGTCTCAAATGATACAAAGAGCTCTGTGTGTTGTCATATAGCCTTTTCTCTTGTTGAACCACCAACCTCATGTTTGTTACATAACGTATGTCCCGTGAAGTAGACATAGAGCCCAAACTGCTGCACCTAAATCAACTTACTAAAAGACCTAGAGAGGAGGAAATCTCCATGTTCCTCACATAACAGCTTTTTATATGAGCATGGGCAACTTGGAAATCAACACAGGCTCTCTCTAGGAACATTCTGGTTAGGGGGAGTATGACAAGACAGATGTCTGTGGTTGTCTCAACTTCAAAGTCTGTCTCTCATTTTACCTTCTCCAAATAATGAGAGACAGACTTTGATGGGATTCACGAGTTCCCTGACACTCATTTATGAAGTGCACTGTGAACACGAACTTGTTTATATAACATGCTGTGACACACATACACACACACAGACAGTCAGATACACAAAGGAGGCAAGTTGTTGCTTCTTACAGAGTGAGCCTCTCATCCCATTTAGGACTGGAGGAGCTATGAGACTTCACTGTGCGGCGCGACTCCCCCTCCGCTGTCACCTCCACATAAATGGCAGTCCCAAACAGGCTCTTCTTCCTCTTGATTTTGGCACAGGAAACTGGTGGTGGGTACATGAAGCAAGTGATGAGACCATTGAATTATTTTCTTATTCCAACATTTTACATTTTCAGCATGAAGTTAATACTCTTGTTTAGAAATTCAGATGTACAGTGCTTAAATAGTCCTTTAAACACAAAGATACCACGACAGTGTGCCTATGAAGACCCTTCATTATGCTGCCTTTGCTTTTTTACACAAAACCAAACAACACAAGCAAAGTGCCGCCCCAGTGTGTGATTTTTAGATAGCATGGCGGCATTCCAGTAGCAAAAAAGGCTTGACGGGTGTGACGTGTAGCACAGCAGTGTTGGCCTCTAGTGTGACATATGACATCAGCATTGAGTAGTGCTTTCCAAACAACAACAATGGCAAAACATGGAAATAATAATAATTTACTGTCTCTGTTACATGGGGGTTGATCTTGCCCTTGGCTCCACAGGTAAGAGCTTCTGGACTTCATTGTCTCCCCAATTTGCGGACATTTTCAATTGCTATTCTTCTTAAGTTTGCAGCTAGCTGGTTTTAAATCTCCCTGCAGTGGGTCATACACATAATACGTCGCCAAAACAGCACACCCGTCCTGTCCTGCAGGCTTTCTCTTTAACACAGACGTTGATTCACTGCCAGATTAAAAGGCAAAACAACTCTGGACCCCCATTCTGCGCTGTTTATAAAGAACAGGAAGGTAGAATAACTACGTGACATTCCTGCCTTCAACAAGGGGGTATAAATGGGGCTAATGTGAGCTCTGTGAGAGAATGACAGGGTCTAGACCCTGAGAGACCACCCTACCAGTCTTATTCTTTATAGCCTACTGTGTTTGGACTCACCAATGGCATGGAGCTGTGTCGTTCCGCTGTGGTTATGGCTAGACTCTGCTCTAGATGAGGCCGTGGCCATGTCATACACCACAGTGGGAAACCTTCAAAACCATACGCACACGGACAAATAAAGCAAACATCAAAACACATAACACATAATAGCCCGTAAAATCACAAATAAGAAACGTGAACTTGGCATGGTTCAAGTAAAAATACAGCTGAGAAGTCGTAAAGGCTTCTTCTACATATTCTGAACATTTTGTTGAGATTTGTGGTCATGATTCTACCAGCTAGAGCCCTGCACGGGACTGTTTTCTTCATCCCGCTCCTGCCCGCTCCTGCTGAATTTCTGACCATTACCGCCCGCAACCGCAACGTGTGTGTTACGCTCCCACCCGCACCCTCATTGTGTATGTCCACTCCCGCCCGCTCCCGCAAAACTCTGAGAATTTATGCCCACACAATAATAGAGATGCACTGATTTTGTGTCTTCTCCCATCCCGCAGGAGAAAACACGTCATTTTATAGGCTATTAATAAAAAGATTCATGGGATTGTTTGTTTCGTTTCCCTGGCCTGCATGATTTTTGACACACTGGTCAGGAATAGTGCTCCTATTTCATTGTTTTCATTTAGTTTTTAGTGAAATAAAGGCTGTTTCATATTCTATTCTCCTCCTCTGTATTTTATTTATTTTTTTACCTTTATATAATCATGCAGTGATTGAGGTTAAGGTCTCTTTTCTAAGAGAGACCTGAATAAGAAACATTAATGAGATAAAGCCTATGCTCAATAATACCAGCATCATCACGCCTCTTTATGTAATTAACAAATAGCAACGACAGTAGGCTGTGAGTGGCTCAAATAACACTAATAAATAACATAAACAAAGTTAACAAATGAAACTAATGAATTTAACAAATGAATCACTTGGCCATAATATTGCTGTGGAGGAAAAGAATGTTGCTGACTGACTGTGGTCTCAATCCCGTGCGTCTCTCTTCCAAGATGCGCCCACAGACACTAAAGGCCCGCTCTGAAGGCGCACTGGATGCGGGGATACTTAAGATGAAACACGGCAGCTTTGAGAGCGCTGGGAAGTAGAGGGATCAGTGCACCTTCAGACCTTGTTTGAGCTTCTTTTCCACAACATTTGTTAACTCCATCCTGTCACTATAGGCTACATCCCGATCCCGCAGTGTTTTTTTAGCCGCCCATTCCTGCCCGCAGCAAAGTTCAAACCGCCCGCTCTCGCAAAATTTGGGTTGGGTCCCTTGGGACCCGGCAGGACCCAATCCCAATGCAGCCCTCCACTACCAGCTCTTAGCTTCATCTACATGTGTTGTAATTGATTCCCCATACTATAATTGTACATTGTAGACATAATGGTTGAAACACAATCTATACTCACAATTGGTGTGTGCTGCTAGACCCTCTGGTTCAGCCCACTCCGTGTCCCATGGTTCCTCTGAAACAGAAAAGAGCTTGTTCTTAGGATGAGGTTCAACACAGCCGGTGCAAACTGCAGTAGTTTAAAGTCCGACCTCTGATTTATTCTTTTGTATGTATACACATTTTGTAACATACAGCAGCAATTGTTTTACACATAGTACCTGTTGTGTCCCCAACAAGGAGGAATAAATGAGATATTCTGTATAAAGCTCCAGCTGCTTTGTTTTCACTGTCACATAACATTAGATCTGGTGGTAAATTCTATAGTCTAACAATTGCAACTTGCACTTACTACAACTGAACACCAATCACACCTACAAATGTTTGACTCTCATTTTTGCAGTGGTCATCACACAACACTTTTTGTTGAGCTGGCTTCTCCACTAACAGCACCAACCTACTTCTTGGACACTTCACATCGCAGGAATTACATTCTACTGTGTGACTACTGTCTTTTGTAAAAGTAAAGTACACTTGTGAGCACTAGCTTCAATCAGCCTTGCTTTAAACACTAAGCAGCAAGCCCCTAATGACTAGAGGTTTGTTGCAGGACTAGTGCACTGTCCTTAGTACCAATTCAGTACTGGTTTGTGATACCTATTCCTATTCCAGCAATTTCTCCATTCAGTATTCACAAAGCAATCACGTAACCTGTTGTTTGCTATTTCCTGGTTACACTTTGACCTGTAAAGTACAGATAGTGTTTTTGCAACGTGAAGCACAATTACATATGATAAACAGTTGGCTTTGTTTTTGTTTTTTTTTTACTTTTCAACTAATGGATTTGATAACTGGGTTAAACTGAACCTGTTTAAAACCTGCCTGATCACTTGTACTGCAATGTGCCATGTTCTAGTGTAGCGCTGTAAAGCTGTCTGGGAGTTTCTTGTCTATACAATGCTGTTTCTGAGCAGAATGATACAGTGGGGTCTGGCTTTGTCTCATCACCTTGGTGCCAGCATTAGGTCTTCTAATATTGTTATAGCACAATTCTGGCAAAGTGCATGTTTAAGCCCCTTTTAACATGGACATCAAACTACAAATGTGCTGGCAGTTTAAGTGTCAACGTGATGTTTACTCGTCCCTCACAATGGCAACCTGGCTAGGTAGGAACAAGAAACATTTCCATTCAAAGGTCAAGTCTGTATTTAATGCAGTAATATTAATGTCCTTAAAAACTCTCCAGCTAATTCAGAATGCAGCAGCATGTGTACTAACAGGAACTAAGAAACGAGATCATATTTCTCCTGTTTTAGCTTCTCTGCACTGGCTCCCTGTAAAATCCAGAATTGAATTTAAAATCCTACTGTTAACTTATAAAGCTCTAAATGGTCAAGCTCCATCATATCTTAGTGAGCTCATAGTGCCATATTATCCCACCAGAACACTGCGCTCTGAGAACGCAGGGTTACTCGTGGTCCCTAAAGTCTCCAAAAGTAGATCAGGAGCCAGAGCCTTCAGCTATCAGGCTCCTCTCCTGTGGAATCATCTTCCTGTTACGGTCCGGGAGGCAGACACCGTCTCCACATTTAAGACTAGACTTAAGACTTTCCTCTTTGATAAAGCTTATAGTTAGGGCTGGCTCAGGCTTGCCCTGTACCAGCCCCTAGTTAGGCTGACTTAGGCCTAGTCTGCCGGAGGACCCCCCTATAATACACCGGACACCTTCTCTCCTTCTCTCTCTCTCTCTCGTATTCTATTACTGCATCTTGCTAACTCGGCCATTCTGGATGTCACTAACTCGGCTTCTTCTCCGGAGCCTTTTTGCTCCACTGTCTCTCAGATTAACTCATATCGCAGCGGTGCCTGGACAGCGTGACGTGTGTGGTTGTGCTGCTGCCGTGGTCCTGCCAGATGCCTCCTGCTGCTACTGCCATCATTAGTCATTAGTCATACTTCTACTGTTATTATACACATATGACTATTGTCACACATGTATACTGCCAGATATTAATACATACTTTCAACATATTGTACCACAGTAGCCAGAACTATAACTATAATATTATTACTTTCAATAATGTTGTTGTAACCTACTGTCATTACCTGCATCTCTCTCTCTGTCTCTCTTTCTGTCTCATTGTGTCATACGGTTTACTGTTAATTTATTATGCTGATCTGTTCTGTACGACATCTATTGCACGTCTGCCCGTCCTGGAAGAGGGATCCCTCCTCAGTTGCTCTTCCTGAGGTTTCTACCGTTTTTTTCCCCATTAAAGGGGTTTTTTTTGGGGGGAGTTTTTCCTTATCCGCTGCGAGGGTCATAAGGACAGAGGGATGTTGTATGCTGTAAAGCCCTGTGAGGCAAATTGTGATTTGTGATATTGGGCTTTATAAATATAATTGAATTGACTGATGTAAACACTACAATACGTGCACACAGAAAAAAAAAGCGGACATTTTGTTCTGCCTATTTAAGACCGTACTATAGAAATATCATCGTATCATCTAACCAGCATTTCAAATGTTAAAATGTATATTATTTTAGGGCTGCTCGATTAAGGAAAAAATCATAATCATGATTATTTTGGTCAAAATTGAAATCACAATTATGCAAACGATTATGCGATGCACATGATGACTTATATTGTGTACACAACCTCTCTTGCTCTCCCTCTGCCATTTTCCGCACAGTTTTTGAAATCTTCCACGATTACCTGCCCCTCAGATTATTCATAGTTCACCTATTTGACTGGCTCATGGAGTGAATAGAGGAGAGGAGGGGAGGGGCGGTATTGCGCATGCAGAAGTTCATATAACATCTCCAAGTATCCGTGACCAAAAATTGTTTACACTCGATTTAATTAATTTTGAAATCGTTTGACCTCAAAATCGTAATCGCGATCACCGGACGATTAATTGCACAGCTTAAATTAATATTACCTAATAATATACAATGTTACAGCCATTTATCTACATGTGTGTGTTTATTTTTGTTGTAAATATTTGTACTGTGTGGCGCTGTGGCAACTTCCGGTGGAAGTTCATTTAGTCAGCCAGGTTAATGAGGCCAGGTGTGTGTGTGTGTGTGTGTAGAGGCAAACAGTTTTTTGACCTTGGCTGAGGCATGGCTGAGGTGTCGGCAGACAGGAGCAGTATACGATAATAGGCTACCAAACTGCTACAAAGCAAGGTGCTGTACATTCTTGTGCTTAAATATATGTAAGAAATAAATGGAGCAAAGCAACAGGAAATGTCTGGACATTGTTTGTGAGAGCCAAGCCTGGCGTGCGTCAATTCATTGCACCGACACGCACCTGCAGTAAGTGACAGTGGAAAGACACTTACATACAATACTGCGATAATTTTATATTGTAGAAGATATTTCTTTTTTGCATCATAAAATGGGCCAATACAAATTTGTCATCAATTTTTTTTTTTTGCTTATAGCGCTAAGAGGAAAACAAACAATACAAAAAAATTAATCATCAGATCATCAACAAAGCCGTTCTAAATGATTACTTTCATTAATGCAAATTGATTACAGTATGAGTAGAATGATTATTATACTACATTATACTATATTGAATAGAGATGCACGATATTGGATTTTTTTGCCAATAGCCGATATACCAATATATAACAAGTTATTTGGACAATAAACGATATCAGTATATCCACTTTCTTCCCCCACCTAATTTTATGTGACCATCAAGTCTCTTCTGTAGTGGAATTAACATCATATTATGCATGCATACTCTTATCGTGATGGCCCACAAGCAGATGGAGACAGGAAATAGAATGCTTTTCAATGTATGTAATATTTACCCATTGTGTAAAATAAGAAAAAGTATGTTGGTCGATGCTGATAGATCATTTTAAAGTCAATATCAGCTGATACCGATGACATGCCTATATTATCATGTATCCCTAATATTGTACTAAACTGTTATTATCTTAACTATATACAGCAAAACCTGTCTTGATCATGGACGCTGCAAAATTGTGATGCATGTGATGAAAAAATGCTCTTTAAATTTTTTAATTTTTTTTTAATATTTTTGGGGGCATTTTCAGCCTTTATTTGATAGGACAGACAAGCGTGAATGGGGGGGAGAGAGAGAGGGAGTGACATGCAGCAAAGGGCCGCAGGCTGGAGTCGAACCCGGGCCGCTGCAGCAACAGCCTTGTACATGGGGCGCCTGCTCTACCACTAAGCCACCGACGCCCCAAAATGCTCTTTAAAATTGATGCAATCTGTAGATAGTAAATTAAGTTGTCCACATTCAACTGGTATTAATAAAAACTGAATATGTCTTTGAGAGTTGTCTAACTTCTTTTGTCAGAAGTGACAATAACATCATCCTGATCACCAGCGTTCAGGCATGCAAGCCTCCTCCACAACCACGAGAACAAAAACAAGACAACAGGATGAAGACAATATGCCTATTAATTGTCAGAGTCTCAGCTCCAGGAGTCACTACACCCACTGTTTCCTGATCTAGTACCAAGCGTCTAATTAGGACCAAGCATTTTTTGATATGATTTAATGACTACAGCACCAGGTTGACACATAGGCTGGTTGATCACTCAACATGGACCGCAAGTTGGAGCAGGCAGCTTTTAAGGAGCTTAGGAAGAACCCTATTAAGAAGATAGGGACAGTTCATGCCAGAATTAACTGATCAGTGTGCAGGCTACAGTGCAGATAGAGACAAAAATTATTCATGTCAGCAGCACAGTGCAAGGGACAGCTAAGTCTGCTATCTTGCTTCTCCCAAAGTTTTATACCAAGTGAGTTCACTAGGGATCTGCTAGGTTAATCAGCCTTTTAAAAGTAAAAGCTCTCAGCCCAAGTTAAAGTTAACTTTATATAGCTCTATGAGGGAACAAAGCTCACAGAGCACTGAAATCAATCACTGAGCAAAAAAACTGATTCCTGACGGTAAGGACACCAACCATACAGAGCAGGGGGTAGAAATGATGGGATGGGACAAAGTCCAGCAGTCAACTGCCATCATTCTGAAGGATCTTCTTCACAAATCAACAGCCAGGCAACAGACTGACCCCAGATTCCCCTGGTACTGCTTATATGGACTGACTGACACCTGGATCGACAGGTTTTATATATGCTGTGTAAAATATGCTACACTATGAGGCATATTTACCTCATTTAAATCTACGGCCCTACTCCTGTAACTGAGATGAACAAAACCCAGTCAGTAGTATTTCAATGAAAAATGCATCCTACCTAGGGACTGCCCAATCTGGATATTATCTTGCTAGATAATAATCAAGTGCAAATATGGTTGACAACTTGCAGACAATTTGTGCTTTAAGAAAAACAGCTCTGCCTTATGGCTTTCCAAAGTGTCGTTTAACTGTAATTATCAATTTAGCAAATCAGCTCGGGGCATCCCAACTGAAGTCACTAAATGTGCCTAAAGCGTGAATGTGGAATAGCAGAACCTGAGGCGTAATTTAATAAAGAGCCTTATGAATAAAAATATATTTACTGAAACAAGAAAACAAACATGGGATCAACATTTGCCAGAAAAAGACACATAAATTAGAGTGCCAATATGAAGACAGACAATCCCTAAACAGGGTCATAAGGGCATTTGATCATTGAGTTATATATGACACATGACACATGGCAAACAGTATCTAAACTCAGTCTGCTCTCCTCCCCTTAAATGCGAAGATGTGAAGACAACCAGCCGTGTACAGAGATGGGATGTGACAAATTGATGTATGAAAGACTTCTGCACACTTAACCACAGCCAGCACATGAGTCATACACAAGTATCTGCAGAAGATAGTGTCCATTAAGTAATTTAGTGAATACACTTTGAAATGCACTGCATCACACAGCCCCAGGCAGCTGGGAAAACCCAACAAGAACTATTTCAACATGATCATCAGAAATTCTACCCAAAAAAAAAGAAAAAGCCTTCAAGCTCTCAGCTGCTCACCAGCTCTCGGCTGCACTGCATTCTGTAAGGCCTGAAATAGCATTTTCCCAAGTATGCAATTTTACTTACTGGACTGGCCAGGCCTTTTCATTTCCTAGTTAGACCTAAATATGCCAGGTTTACATTAGACTTACACTATGATGATCTAACTCAATTCTTCTGAAGGTTTTCTCGTAGGTAAAGGCCAAGACACACCAAAGCGACATCAAGGAACTGGTAGCAACGAACTCCAACTGTTGTGTCACCTCATGTTGCCTGTGTCTTGTTCAAAGAGTTGCACATGGACACACTCCCAAGACTCCAGGCAACAGCCAACTAGCATGTACATTCTGCGCCCATGTGAGAGTTGATAACTCTCCATACCAGCAGACGGCGGTAGTCTGTATTATAGAAACCAGGAGGCTGACAGAGTGGAATCAATATGCTAGTTAGCACGTTAAAAACATAACCCATTGTTGAAAGAACAAATGATATTTACAGTGCACTAACAAACAATAACACAACAATTATGTACCATTTCTGCTAAAGAGCTAAGTGGCAAGAAAAAATAATCCTACTTAATATAACAAGTTTTCTCGATCCTACGCCCTCTTGACTTAAGTCGTCTGTTTACTGTCCTCACTTCTGTTTCGCTTCTCGCACGCACACTGAGCTGAACTGCCAATCAGAGTGATTCTTCTCACAGACGAGAATCCAGTGAAAAACAGCTGACTAGGACTAGCACTTACAGTGCAGGACACACTGCAAAAACTGGGGAGACAGAGGTTCAGACAGCCCAACAGTGACCAACAGCCAACCATCGCATTGATGTGCAAGAGAAAACAAAAATATAACGGGCAAGGAAGGGGTCTCTGCACTCTAAAGACAGCATGTCTAAATAAGAGCTGCAACAATTAGTCATTTAACTGATTAGTCAATCAACAGGAAATTAACTGGCAACAGTTTTGGTCATTGATCAAATGTTTAAGTCACTTTGTAAAGCACAAAAGCAAGCAGTTTCACCTTTTCCCATTTTCTTCGAAACTTATTAGGCATTTTTCCTCAAACAAACAAATAACCACAAAAGTAATTTGCAGTTTAATCTTAAAATGAAAGTAACTTTTAGTTTTAGACTTTGTTTAAATCTAGGGCTTTTAGCTTCCCATCTTGCTTTGATCAGCACATACAGAGGTCTTAATACAGTATTTTTATTGCCTGTTTTCCTTTAAGTTATAATTTCAATGGCTTCAAGTCCAAGAGATAATAAACATTAGATATGAGGGATCGTCACATGGTGCGATGTGAAAAGCACAACTCTGGCTTGATAAGTGCAATTTGCACAATAATATTTAATCTTGAACTGATTGCCTATCCTCTTACTCTGTCTAATGTACTGGTCGGATTTCAGTTGGATTTGCTTGTCAACAGCTAGCACCCTACTGTTAGACAATGTACTTAATATCTTGTGGTGCATATGTGTTTGTGAGTCTGCATAAAGGCTAGAGCTTCTTTAGGAGAGGTTGTTGTTGACAGAGCTTAAAAACTAGGCTTATATGATGAGTATTAAGGTTCTCTAATTTCACACACATAACAATTTACACACCAACATGGACCCTTAGGCCCACATACACAGTATTAGAGTTGATTGCACTGGAATACATCTGGGCAGACGATGATGTCAGGGGGGGTGTTCGCTTACATGAACAGGATTGAAGTCGCCCTTCAAGCAAACAACTCAGCTCCACAAAACTGGGCAAAAAAACAAGTCATAACCTCAGTGACAGAAAACAAGACTAAGCCATAACACACTCTAGTCTTGTTGTCATTTTTTGTATTATATAAAAATAACAAAAACCTTTCACATCAAGCACATTCAGAATTTAATTTTATAACAACAAGAGGCAGGTGAAGCTTAATTTATTCTTGCCAGAAGTTTTGATCACATAGGGTTTCAGAGCTGACCATTAGGCGCCCGAATTTGCGATAGTTGCATGGTTCATTCTACGTAATGCGTCAGCAATGGTGCTTGCAATTTCCCCGCATACTGTAAAGGCTGGTTGAACGTTAAGTAAATAGCAGTCTTTAACCTAGCACCACTTCCATCTCCACAACAATCAGGAGCTGTTAAACCCTCACAACATTTCTTTACGGTGGCATGACACTCTGACTTCACACAGTGGCGGCAGGCTACAACTCAGACTTGCCTCACAGCTGCTTTCTTGCCTTTCAAAGGTCAATGTGAGTGAGCGTGTGTGTGTGTGTGTGTGTGTGTGTGTGTGTGTGACAGAGAGAGACAGGCTGAGAAAGAACACAAACAAGTAGATTTCAGAGCCAGACAGCAAAACTTGCTGCTCAAGTGACACCTTCCTGAAAGCAATTCCCTCCCACAGTGGCACCAATACAGTATATGACAGTCTGAGCTGTCAAACCATTGTTCATAATTGAGACAGCAGGGTGCTCACTAATGTTCCTGAAATACAATCACCAAGACAGTATAGAAAATTCTGATCAGCCACTGAAACAAATAAGTCATGTTTGACCATTTTTATTTGAGGCTGAGCATATCCACAGAGAGGGAATTGAAGAAAACTGAGCCTAACCTTTGATGATATGGATTCTCATCAGGTATCAGCTGAGCTCAAATACACAATGTTAGTCCTATAGCACATTGTGCTCAAAATGATCTGCCTTTGTCAGTCAAGGACTGACCGTCACTGTCCAAGTGTTATGTTGTTCTTGTTCAGTATTTATAGCTGGGGTGCTACTGATATGATGATGATATAGTGCTGTATTAAAAAGCAGTGTGCTTGATACCAGGCCTTTGTTTACCTATAGTGTGCATAGGCAAAGACACTCATTGTTGACAGCAAATGTCAACTCCAAAAGTTGGAGGAAAACATTGTTTTTTCAGATAGCAAGTTTCAGTAAACATGACCATGGATTAATGGATTGATAAGTAGCTGATTGTTATCACTCTCAAATCATACTGAATCCATACGCTAACAACACCTTGTCGATATCTATAACGCAAACACTTATCACACACAAACTCTGATATGGTTAACGAACATTAGCTAACTTTTGACAATCTACTGACATGCTAACGTTTATGCTAGCTCACAAAGTACGAATAACATTACAGACAGCGGCCTTCGGATAGTAATATCCTCCATCTGTGTCAATGATTAGTAATCTCATATTTGCACCAGACATATTACATAGGTACAGAATCTGTCAGATAAGGCTGGCTAACGTCATGTAGCCATGTCGTAGCCTCTACCACTTGCAACGAAAGCTGAAGTCAGCTAGCTAGCCTTCAATAAGCTAGCCCGCTAGCCCCAGAAAATAAATCCCAGTTTTAGTGTTATGTGTTTGAGTTACTAGCTTGCCGCTAATGTTAGCTGACTATCTTTCTAACTACACTTATATCTAACTGTCTAGCCACATGAAATACTCAGTGTGTTTATTTAATCTTCTAACGTTAGCTGTACAACTTACAGTGAGGCAAACACGGCTAGTTGGGCAAGCTAACGCTACAAACTTAACTAGCCAGTTAACATTAGCTACTATCCTATTGCTGCCTGCTAGCCGGCTTGCTAACGTATTTAACGTTACTTAGCAGCTTTGCTAACGTTAGTTGTCCGCCATCATATAGCTAGTCAAACAGTTTGGTTGGATGTAACGTTAGAAAACAGACTTGTAAAAATATCATTTTAGACATTACGACAGAGTCGTTCGTAACGGTTTAAGTTAGGTAAGCAGTCGTGTTTTACCCTGTCCGTTGATCCGCTCCTTTCCTACTCTCTGCGTCTCTGCGGCTCTAACGTTACGGTTGTCGGTAAATTGCCCAACCGTATAGGCCCCACAGTCTGCTACGGTTCTCTTGCCATCTCTGTGCAGAAGCTTCCGAGCAGCAAACACACTCGGGCGACAGGCGCGCCACCCCAAATATTGCTGTGTAATAACACGGGACACGACAGATAGCCCTCTGAGTCAATACCGTGGATGTACAAGATAATGTTGTTATTGCACAGCTTCGCCACCCGGGTCATCTGATGGACAATTAGACCAGACCATAATGTACTTTTCCTGTGCTCATCATCTGCAAGTGTAATTTAAATATTCATGATGTGTGTAGTTTTTTTTGTTGTTGTTGTTGGTTTTTTTACAGTGCACAAACCAAGATTCTTGTTTACTTGACAAAGTTAGCATGCCGTGATTTGTTTTCTTATCAATATTTTTCAAAGTTCTGTTATAGATATTTATTTTTGAATGTATTATATTTTTTTGTTATTTCTGCAGCAATGTTGCTCTTCACGTTTTTGTTTTTATGTAGCCTTGCTTGTACTTTGTTCTTTTAAAATTGTAAATCTTTAACCTATGCTGTATTTTTATTACACTGTAAAGCACATTGATTTGCCAATTGGCTATACAGAAAAAAATGTCCTGACTTGCCTTTCTGTCTCTCCCTCTCTTCATATATAATTTGTCATATGGATTACTGTACATTTATTACTATTACTTATTATTATGTACACACAACAGCCATTGCACTTCTGTCCATCCATTTTCCTGAGGTTTCTACCATTTTTTCCCAATTAAAGTTTTTGTTTTTTTTGTTGTTGGCGAGTTTTTCCTTATCCGCTGTGAGGGTCCCAGGACAGAGGGATGTTGTATGCTGTGAAGCCCTCTGAGGCAAACTGTGACCTGTGATATTGGGCTTTATAAATAAAATTGACTTGAATTGAAAGTTACCTACATAAAACAATCATCCAAATAGTTCTCCCCTAGTATGTCTCTTCTTTTCTAACACTCGGCAAGCGGGCAAATAAGCAGTTTCTCAAAATGTAAAACAATTTATTTAACTAGAAAAGCATTCAGAGTGCAGACCTCCACCAAGTAGGTGATATCCCCCCCCCTCTGCATCAGACTTTGCAGCCTGCATCACAATTAGGTTATTTGCATCACTATCATTATTAGGTTATATATGCCTTCACCATGGAGACACTGTGGTGTATTTATTTCGTTTTTATTTTGTACCAACACAGAATATAATTTGTTGTTTTGTATTTTCCGCTTTCTTTTTTTCCAACACAGAACATTAATTTCAACTTTAGAATTACAACATTTAGCAAGTAGAACTAGACATGCTTTTCGGCCACCAGATGGCGCTATTTTCACCGTCTTTAGAAATTGGAATTGCTGCTGAGGTTGTCAGAAGATAGACTTCATTTATTATTTTATCCCCTTTGCTTCAACCAATCACCACCAAAATTGTATCATCTGTTCCTTGTCCCAGTTTCCACCTTTCCTAAAAATTTCATCAAAATCCGTTCATAACTTTTTGAGGTATTTTGCAGACAAACAAACAAACAAACAGACAAACAGACCAACGCCGGCGAAAACATAACCTCCTTGGTGGAGGTAATAACAGAGACAGAGGGATGTTGTATGCTGTGAAGCCGTCTGAGGCAAACTGTGACCTGTGATATTGTGCTTTATAAATAAAATTTAATTGCCTTGTCTATTCAGTAGACCAGGGATACTCAACTTCCTTTGCCCAGGGCCCACTTTAGCAAAGCGACAGGAGCCCTGGTCAGCCCTGACCTCTGATGAGGGGTCAGTGAGGTCCTCCCCTGGCACTATATTGATAGACAATCTCTATTTTGATGGTGTTTTATGCACTCTGACACATTATCAAAAGAAAAAAAAAATCCCATTGTGAATCAATGCATTTTCATTATGAATTATAAAATGGTCATCAGGCTACCTGGCACCTTATTGCGGGCCAGATTTGGCCCATGGGCTGTAGGTGAACTGCAGTGGGCTATACCTTGTACAGCGCTTCCCAACCTGTGTATCAGGATCCTAAGGGGGTCAAAGATAAATCTGAGGGGTCACCAGATGATAATAGACATTTCCGTTGTCAAAAACTGTGTTTATTTTATTTTCTTTTTTCCCCAGTGATGAAATACCAGATACCTTTACCCCTCTGGCAGTAAAAATCATTCCAAACAAACCATCAAGTATGATACTAAAGACCGTAATCTTATTGTTTTTCTCCCCCATTTTCCCTCTTTTAATAATGGTATGCTGTGTGACAGCTCAGATGACGTTTAGACTTGTTCTACAATATGGTTACGTTCTGATCTTCCAGCTGGTACGATTTTTTGTGTTTTTTGTCTGTAAATCAAAGGACACAAGTGTGTGGAGGTGACAGTTTTAATTAAAAAGTATTCCCAAACTTAGTTCAATAATCGTTACTTTTCACAATTGGTTTCCAGTGAGCCAAATATCCTTAAGGCAACAAGCTGCAGGCGATTAAAGAGTAAATACTGATCTATCTTAAGAGGTCACAAGTCAGGTGCCCAAAAGGATAAATTAACTTTATCTTCAAATGTATGTATCTAATATGTAATGGATGATGACTTATATTCACATTGCTATTCTTACATAACAATTATTAGGGGGACTCCACACACACAGACATTTTTGCACTTCTGGTGTAATTTGTTTTCAGTCAGAGGCACTAAGATGCTCTTTATGGCTGCTTTAGAGGCTGATGTTGTGGTCTGGCATACGTAATAATCACGATTCTATGCACCTCACACATCATCAGCCCGGGACGATTGTCTGTTTTGGGTCTTTCAGCATCAGACGCCCAGCTGAAGCTTGGCATATGTAAGCTCCAATTTCCCGAGCAGTCTAATAAAAAGAGGTTTATCGGATTTGAGGTTTGTAATCCACAGTTACACTGAGGTTTATACATTAGTCTGGCAAGTATTGGAACACAATACCGGGACAGTTTTTTTATTATAACTGATGGCTCTTAATTGTTAGACATTCTGTGTTGCTGCTGCTCCAAAATCACTAACATCTTCTCTCATCTAAAGCCTGTGTCTAAGAATAATCCATTTGCAAATCTTGACGAAGATTTGTGTGGTTGAGAGCACACTTTTGTAGAGGCCAGAAGAATGAAACCAGATTGGAAGTAATGAGAAGGAAGCCCTTTACTATAGACCATAGTCTTCTTTTTTTCTCCCCCATTTTCCCTCTTTTAATAATGGTATGCTGTGTGACAGCTCAACTGAAGTTTAGACTTGTTCTATGATCTTTTTATGTTTTGATCTTCCAGCTGGTATGATTTTTTCTTACAATAGTCACATTCCATTGAGTGTAAATGCATCCAGAGATTTTCTCAACCCTTCATATAGAAATAGATTTATTGTCTGTAAATCAAAGGACACAAGTGTGTGGAGGTAACAGTTTTAATTAAAAAGTGTTCCCAAACTCAGTTCAATAATAGTTACATTACACCATTGGTTTCCAGTGAGCCAAATATCTTTAAGGCAACAAGCAGCAGAACATTTCATATGTCACTGTTTTTTTATATGGAATATATTAAGGAACAATTTGTTCAGTTCCCTTCTCATCTAACTTCTACAAATAAACTACTGATGTTTACTCTCACCAGATTTCTTTTGACTTTGTATATACTGGCCCATATCCAGTTGAAATTAATTATTAAACACAGTGTCTTAGAACATCAGAGCAAAAAGGTTTTTAAAGCCAGAAATTGTTGAACCATATTTGCTGAGGTAATAATATAGATCAGTGATGATAGTGAACCTGAGTAGATACAGAAATATTGATTTGTGCAGTGTGATAGTAAAAATCTTTGCTGCAAAACCGAGGTGGTTATGTCTGTAAGTGATGCGCCAGACTTGCATTTGAGGATGTTTTTAGCAACTGCACATACTAATATTATAAACTAGGCAGGCAGACATTTTGATGTGTAATTGCAGGAAAAGCACAGGTGTTGATGACATTGATAATGGCTCTATTCCATGTAGGAGCAATATTTTTCAAGGCCCTGGTATTGAGCATGCTGACTCCCTGCACTGGCATGGTTGACACTTAAACTGAGCTGAGCCATTGTTAATGTCATTAGTTATAGGGTTTTTTTGTTTGTTTGTTTTTTTGAGGGAAATTCAATTTTTTCACTCCGTTGTCAATTACACACAGGTCCGAAATACACACACATGCACAAACATGACCTATACATGCACTAAGTGGAGAGATGTCAGAGTGGGGCGCCCATTTACCGGCGCCACCTCGGCAGTGCCCAGGAGGTGAACTGGCACCTCTCCAGCTACTAGTCCACACTCCATATTTGGTCCGGATGGGGACTTGAACAGCCCTACTAATACGTTAATAAGTCACTTTCAAGTTACTCTGTTTTTTCTTACATTATACCTTCACCTCATGTTTTTGAACAAGTGTTAGTGAGGTTGAACCCATGAGTGTTTTTATACACTCTCTTTTACATGTACAATATTACTGATGACATGTTTTTATTACTGGGGGTGATCCCTTGTAGGCCCTGTGAAGTTTTCCTGTCTTTGAATATTTAGGTTTAACTTAAACCCCACTGCCAAATCATTTTGTTAGTTATCATGAGTTCTACACTTTATAAATATTTCAGTTTTATACAGGCTATGAGTGTGTTGTCTGTTCACACAAATTGTTTTTTGTCCTTGTCATATGTACTATATTTTTCAGTTTCTGCCACTTTATGTGCAAGTTTGTCACAACATTTATTATTTCACTGTTGTTTTCTTTCTTTTTATTTGACATTTAACCTTTTCTCTTGTTACTTAATATGCTAATCATTTAGAGTATATATTTATGTCGTTTTCATTTGCAGTCTCTGTCAATGTGGGGTTTTTTTGTCTGGAAGGGCTTTACCAATATATCATGTGACCTGTGTGACATGACTCTCACATGAGTTCTTAAATTGCACACCTGTTTCCAGTGCATTTTACACCCTGATGAAGAATTTTCAGTGGAAACGTGTTCGTTATCCATATATTTACAACTACAGTCAGAGTGCCTTGGATGCATTTTTGGACCGTCTGCCTATACTATGGACTTTTACACCAAGTGAGCTGGCCAGTCGTTGTTTTTTTATCTTTAATGGGAAATCAGGGTCCCAAAAAAGAA